TGTGGGAAAACGGCAGCCAAAAGTCGGTGATAAAAAGCAACACTGATTGAACACCTGTCCTGACCAATGCCTTCTGCTCCACCGACTTTATCTATAGCTTCCGGTAACGTCTGTAAGGTAGATATAAAACGCAGATCACTCCTACAGTACATACGGGATGACCAGGAAAGGCGCCAAGATGAAAAGCCAGCAGCGTGCAATAACAAGCTAAGGTGGCGCCCGAACCTCTCTCCTGACCTCCCGCCGTGCAATGACAAGCTACAGGTACGTAACACATCAGCACCACCAAGATAACAAGTGGATACCTCATGAGCCTTGATATGCGCGCGCACACACACGAGCACCCTGCTGAGATAAGCCACCACCGCCACACACACACTCCTGGGGTTAAGTATGACCTATCGACACCCACCACCAGGTACACCACACCGTACCTACGACCCCGGTCACGGTGCAGTAATGTCATAAGTTATAAAATAGGGGAGGAGAAACTATTATTGTAGGGCGAGGAGGGAGGTGTGGTGACCCTATCAGTGTAGGGAGGTGTGGTGACCCTATCAGTGTAGGGAGGTGTGGTGACCCTATCAGTGTAGGGAGGTGTGGTGACCCTATCAGTGTAGGGAGGTGTGGTGACCCTATCAGTGTAGGGAGGTGTGGTGACCCTATCAGTGTACCAAACAAACACAATAAATCAAGATTAATGGACCTGAAGAGTGTCTATACTGCAGCTGTTAAAGATAAGTATATATAGTAACCATTAAGATACTACCATAAACCAAAGAGATAGCTGATATACACCACCAGTAAATATAATGGATCATTTACGACCCATCAACCTTTCCACCAAAAAAGGTAGAGGCGCCAACACAGGATTGTCACAACCCAGGTGAGGGCGCACAAAAAACACCCCATCCGCCGGGGTTTTCCCCAATAGGAGTCCAAAATATTACGGGTGTTTAACGGAAGAAATACTTACCGTACACTAAGGATGGCTTCTCACCACATGTTCTCGTCACCAGGCATCCCTGTTCCTCCTCCAGGGGAAAATTTGGAGGCAACCAAGTCATATGGACGGTGCTGTACTTAAAACATCTACCACTACTCCGTAAGTCGGCCAGGGAGTGATAAAGCTTTGTGGTTGTAAGCGTAAAGATTTGTATGGGTGAGGAGGTTTAGCTGCTGGCTCCCCCACAAACTCCCGCTCTTAAAGAAATACATTTTCTAACGTCAACAAAAACCTTACCGTACACTTTTTCATCTCGTTTTTTTTCGTGTACTTCCATAATATACAAAATGTACCTGAAAACGGAACTTCAGCCAAATGTACCAGCAACGGGTGGTGGTGACGTTATTCAGCGGTCACAAACTCCGGATAATGTTCATAACTAAAATCATCATGTCTCTCTCTCTCAGGGGTAGCAAGCGCGTCCCTTTCACACGGTGGACAGGGGAGAGGTTCAACCCCAATTGTGTTGTTACCTCTTGGCCTCCAGGTAACACGTCTTCCTGTCTACTGTACCGCCACCACCACACGTCGCCTCACGCTATTGTTGTCACGCTCGCTCGCTGCCTTCACTATTTTGGTCCTGTATTATAAAGCAAACCTTCCCTCGACAATCCTCCACCTTCCTCTTTAACTGACACCCCTTCCTCTTTAACTGACACCCCTTCCTCTTTAACGGACACCCCTTCCTCTTTAACGGACACCCCTTCCTCTTTAACGGACACCCCTTCCTCTTTAACTGACACCCCTTCCTCTTTAACTGACACCCCTTTCTCTTTAACTGACACCCCTTCCTCTTTAACTGACACCCCCTTCCTTCCCTCCCTCGATAGTGTCCACCCCCCTCCAGTAATCTCCTCAGGGGGACGCCAACACACAAGGTCGATTCACAATTTTAAAACAACGAATCCGGGGCCAAAAAACATGTCATTTCCTTTAATTTGATTTTGTCTCGGTTACTGATATAACGTAACTCCCTCCAACCATACCCTCCTTCCTCACTATACTCACCATTACCATTCTCCACTATAATCACCATCACCACCCTCCTCCCTCACCATCTTTCCTCTCGTCGCCTCTTCCTCCCTTACACAAAACATAACTGCTATTCGCTCCTTTCCCAGAGTTGCGTTGTGCCCCCCCCCCCCCCACACACACACACACACACTTTCTCAGCCCCGGACCCCAACGCCACCCCGTGAGAAACCCCAGGATTTTTTGTGTATGATTGAGTCCCTTTTCCCACTGAACTTGTCAAAATGGGCAATGTCCGGTGAGGCCCCAGGCAACGTCGACGGGGGTGAATGACGCCAGGGGGAGGGAGTAACACCAGGGGAGTGAGTAACACCAGGGGAGTGAGTGACGCCAGGAGGACTCGCTCTTCCAGGTGTACGGGTAAATAGCTCCTGTACTAAATACCTGGCCACCGTCTCTGCTGCCATCACACTATTGTAATTACCAGCTAACTTGACCTTCCGTCTGCCGTACACCGTTTAGTCACCAGTACACAAACCCAACCCAACCTAACCAAATCCAACTTAATCTAACCCATCCCAACCTACTTATCGTGACGTAACCTAACCTAACCAAGACAGCGTACAGTGCGGAAGATGCCAGTCGTGTTACTACCTGACGTCACACTCATCTATGCCACCACCACCAATATACCCCAGTTAAATTATAGCAAAACCTGGATAAAATAGATGTTGTTTAATACTGCCAGGTTGTATTAGAGAGACACCCACCAGCGTGACAATAGATGGCGCTATCTCACTCAAGCTAAAAATATATAAACCTAAATAAAACAAACACTTCATCTGATATTTCTAAAGGTTAGGTTGGCGTGTGTGGTGAGCACTGACCACAAGACTATTCCCTACACCACCATGCTGTTGCCATTATGTAAGTGTGGTTGTCTGAAACAAGAAACTTTTATCGACTATAAACCATACAGTGGCCTTCCATTGACAGGCAACCAGGTAGCTACTGTGGTGGAGATAACGAAATAGTGGTGAAGGAAGTGAAGATAACGAAATAGTGGTGGTAGAGTCGGTGGTGGTGGATGTAGACAAAATCATCAGTATAATGATCCATCAATTACGTATTTTTATGACCTCCGTTCCACCAGCAGCCACAGCCCACATTACCATTGCCTTTATTCCCTAATTTATCTGCGTTTCCTTAATTTACATCCTGTTGGGGAGCTGAGCACGGCACGAGGGTGTCCTGCACGCGTCCCCACACCCCAGTCAGTCAGCTCCCTTACTTACGCTAACACAGCTTACACCATGATAACATATTTTAGCTGCTGTTATATTAATCTACATCCTGTTAAATCAGGTTAGGTTATTATTCATATGTTAATGTCAGCCGCCTCACGTACAGACATCACTGGCTACTAATAGTGTCAGCCGTCTCACGTACAGGAATCACCGGCCACTAACAGTGTCAGCCGCCTCACGTACAGGCATCACCGGCCACTAACCGTGTCAGCCGCCTCACCGGCCACTAACCGTGTCAGCCGCCTCACGTACAGGCATCACCGGCCACTAACCGTGTCAGCCGCCTCACGTACAGACATCACTGGCTACTAATAGTGTCAGCCGCCTCACGTACAGGCATCACCGGCCACTAACCGTGTCAGCCGCCTCACGTACAGGCATCACCGGCCACTAATCGTGTCAGCCGCCTCACGTACAGGCATCACTGGACACAGGCGTGGCTTGTGACACTGATTGCACCCAAGCAGGAAGTTGTTAAAAAGCTTCACTTTCCGGTGTAATACTGCCACCATACAGCCCTCACCTGAAGGACGTCATTGTGGACACCAAGTAACTGACCGTACCAACCAACTTGACTTAATCATTTTGCTTACATTTGTGTTAAGTTCATCATGTCTGCAGTCATTAAGAGTTTACACTGTAGCCGCCACCACCAAAATGGCAAGACACACCTGCTACACCACTACTATATAAACAAAACCCTATTAACACTCGGCTGTTAATACACTGACTTATTTTACAATATAACACAGCTAGAACTCATTTTATACAGGTATTAATGTTCAACACTTCCCAGAGGCCATTGTTAAAGGCTCTCACACATTCTGTCGTTCATGTAAACATTGATAAGTTATTTAAGCTGAAATGTTCTTTGTGGTCAAAAACCGTTCCTGTATACAAAGAGGGTAATATATTTTGGGGTGAATCACCTTAACCTCACCTGCTTCAGATGGATGGAAAGACTTTAAGTTTTCAGCTGCTGTATTCCCTCATATTACCAGTAATAAAACAGTTATGATGATACAGTAATTGCACTTCACCCGTCTATACTGTCGACAAATATTCCTACAATACCTGGGCACGATAAATGAGCAGAATGGAACTTGTCATCTGGGAATGGTTTCAGAGTCTTCATTCATTTTTCAGATTGCATATTGTTCAAGAGGTGTTTAATGAGTGTACCAAGTTTTACTGCCCTTGTCAAAGCTTTTCCTGAGCCACAAACAGTATAACCAACACTACACACCCCAATATACTTTGATGGCACGGGTAATCTTATTCTTGATACACTAACAATTTCTCTACACTCTTAACGTTGGAAGAGCTGTTACTTCCCAAGGATCTTTTCTCTCTACTCACTTGTCTATTGGCAAGGATCCGCGGGAGATCAATTGACACAGATGATTTGTACATGAAACAAAAGATTCTGACAAGAAAGTTGACAAATAAGCTCTCATGTATCAAGTACTGTACTGTATATATAATTCTTTATAAAAAAAATCACTTGATATAATGAGCCATCAGGTTAATTCGTACTAACAAAGTTAAATATGAAACAACTTTGTCCTGTAATAATTTCCCAACCATGAAAACTATCACAAACTGCTCATTAAGTTTTTAATGTGACTTGCTCTAGGATACAGCTAGTTGTTGTACAGCACACACATACAGTACAGTACCTGATAACTAAGACACTGTGAAGGTACTGTGCTTACCTGGTATAGACGACTTGTCCATTATTTGCCACTCTCCTCCATCCAAAGGGTACAATGAGTGGCATAAAATTCTTGTCCACAGCAGCGTGAACGGTAGGGGCACCTGCAGGCAAACCGCTGCACGGAGAGTTGACAACTCCCACAGGAGCACCCGAGCATCCCATCATACTGGCGTGATTCATGTTGGTACCTGCCATCTTGGCTCCCACAGGCACCATGGTCATGTTGCCTTGCATCATCACTGCTTGTTGCTGATGATCAGGAATCATTGCTCCACTCATCATGTGCTGCTGGGGATGATGATTTTGTACCCCCATAACACCAGTACAGTGGCCACTATTTTGCCCTCCCATCACTAGGTTACCTTGACCCATCAGACCTTGTCCATGACCTGCGTGATATTGGCCACTCATCATATTTGCATTTCCACCCTGCTGTTGTGCAACATTCATAGGCTGCCCTTGCATCATATTCATGTTCTGACCTTGCATGGTGTTCATTCCAGGCTGTCCTGCCACCATGTTCATGCCCTGGCCTTGCATCATGTTGACATTGTGAGCACAATTGTTTTGGCCCTGCATGACTTGCCCATGCATTGCATTGGTCCCCTGCCCCTGAACCACCCCCCCAGCTTGCATCATGCATGGCCTTTGCACATTGTTTACACTCACTCCAGGTGCCTGTTGCATCACATTCATATTTTGGCCCTGCACATACTGGTATTGCTGTTGCATTATTTGTAACTGTCCCCCTTGCATTTGCACATGCTGCACTGTGTTCACTTGATGGAAGGCCTGCACAATGTTTTGATTGTTGTACACACCTGTTTGATTCATCCCGCTTGGATTACTCCCGCCAGGTGACTGACAGGCCATGTAGTTTGGGTAAGAATTGTAACTGTTTGGATTCATAGTTTGCATATGGTTGTTCATATACTGTGGATTGTTCATCACATTGACTTGGTACTGTTGACTATTACTAAACTGATTATTTGTTTGTTGTTGTTGTTGGTGATGCTGTTGTTGAGTGTGTTCTGTCTGACTATCGGAGCTTAAACTACTACAACTGGACTCTGCAGTTTCCGATCTCACGGAGTCACAACGGGAACTAGTTCTTGGGCGAGCTACTACCATGTTATTGTTATTCATCATTGTGGTGTTGTTACAGCTGTTATTGGTCACTATCTGATTATTCATCATCTGTGGGTTATTCATCATAGCAGGGTTGTTACCCAGGTTTGCATTATTCACTTGCATCATGACACCATTTTGCACATAACCATTCATGGTGCCCATCACATTGACTTGGTTTTGTAGGTGTTGTTGTTGTTGTTGTTGTTGTTGCTGTTGTTGTTGCTGCTGGTGCTGTTGTGGTTGCGGCTGTTGTTGTTGTTGATTTACTGCTCTTGTGTGCTGCTGCTGTTGAAGACTGTGCTGCTGTGATTGTTCTGAGGCATGCACAGTGACGGTGGTGACATAATTACCACCAGGAAGGTACTGCACTTGCTGTGGTGCCTGGCTAGATGGGAAACAGTTATTGGTTCCATCCAACCCATTCATTTTATTCATGAGGAACTGTTGTTGCTGCTGCTGCTGAAGGCTGTCAGTCATTGGCATGCTGTAGCCAGGTTGTTGCTGTTGATGGTGCAATGGGTTAGCAACCCTAAAGCCATTGACCATGTGGGGGTTGGTGGGTTTAACTGGATGAGGTGTGATCATGGGACGCTGTGGTCCCTGTGCCCCTCCCGGCCCAGCCTGGCCACCCCCCTCACCTGCCACATATACCACCACATTGTGCGGCGGCTGCAGCTTACCACCACCACTCTCTGCTGGTGTTGCTGGTGCCTGGGACATGCTGCACTCGCCCCATCTGCACCATCACGTGTCTGCAAACACAACAAAAAAGTTCTTATTATCTACCAGAATATAACAACTTCTTTAATACATTACTGTACAACTGTACTGCACTTTCCAGTATAATTTAAAACTACTACTGCCAAGAATTAGGAAAATATAATTATTAAATTTATATGGTGTGTAGAGTACACAGTAGTCAAAATAATGAGATCACACGAGATACAATGTTTATTCAACGCTGTTATGAAATGACACAACTCAAACATTTTGAGATTGAAGAAGAATGTACAGTACTTAATGCTACTGCAGTAATAGTATTTGATTGCTCACTTAATAAAAATACTAAACCCTCAATAATTCAATATTAAGAATTCAATATTTTGGATTAATTCAATATTTTGGTCGATATATGAAGAAATGTAAACCAAAGCACAAATCAAGAGAAGTACAGAAATTTAAGTAAAGAATCGACTAGGTTAATAAAAGTTATTTTAAGTGTGCAGTAAAGTATGAAAAGTAAAGTAAATGTACCTGTAAAATAATTAAGAAAAGAATTAGTTGTAAAGAATGTATAATAGCCAGAGCCGTCCCTAGGGGGTGTGGGGCTTGGAGCAAGTCATCATTGTGGGGCCCCCTTTAGGCCCTTTCCTATATACAGTACAGTACAGTACAGTACATATTTCTCTTAATTTTTTGCCGATCATTGTAACATCTTCAGTTGTTTTCCTGTATGGAATAAACATCATCTATATACAGTACCCGATGCTGATGTTAAAACTCGTAAAAGAACAAAAAAATGAAATATGCGACTGTTAGAAAATGGCCGAGCTTATTCGTGCATACAAATTTTGTTACGTCGTCTTTAACACTTGGCCGAATATTGAACGATTCTTGAGATACAACCCAACCTAACCCCAAGGAAGAGAGAACATGAAGAGAGCAAATTTATCATTCATTACAAGAGATAACATAATGAACATTGTCTGTATAATCAGCCACGGTATTAACAAAACACTAACAGCTCTCAAGTATCTTACACACTCGGTTACCATTAACGAGGACAAGAATGATAAATGATTGACATTAAATAAAAGGCATAGCTAAGAGGAGGAAAAAAATAGCTATTTAAAGAGATAATGTGAAGAAGGGAAGAAGATTGAACTCGAAAAAATATAACCAAAACAAAACTGGCCTTCAACAATGATATATGCAGTACTGTATACTGATATTAAAACACTACAAACAGGTGAAATAAATGAACAATTAAGATATGAGACAGGAATAAATGAAGAGGAAGCAAATAGTAAAATATAGTGAAGTATAGAGATATTGAACTGTACACGAAATTTTTTACTTGATAACTGACTGCTATCAACAATATATACTGTACAAAAATAAAAACATATTGCTACACATGGAAGTACATTACTGGATGCCAACGGTGCAATGCAGAGATAAAACACTAGGTTCAATTTATACTCGAGTGTCCAATAAAGTATTATTTTAGTTTCGGTCATCTGGGGAATCTTAGGAATTTAGGTTAGGTTAGGTTAGATATAGTTCCTGGGTTCTGTGGCTAGGTTAGGTTAGATTGGTTAGGTTACATTATGTTAGGTTGGGTTTACATATCTAAATACAGGGATGACCGAAACTAAAATTTTACCTCCAATAACATCTCATGAAAGAAATTAAATAACTGAACTTCAGTAAAAAGACCAAAAGAAAATTAGATTAAATTATACTAATTCTTGTTATTTGGAAGTGATAAAATTCAAGAGAATAAGGAAGTTTTATATAATTATGAACAAAAAATGATTTTTTTTTAAAAGCTCAACACCTAGACACGATAGTATATGATTATTGTAAAGGTAATACCTCCACCCATCACTGGAAAACATTACAATATGCTGTTAAAACAAGCAACAACTACTCTCTCTCTCTCTCCATTACCAGTGATGAGCGGCACAGAACCTATCCGAGATGATGTACAGCTGATGACATGAATAACAATATAAGATCAGGCAAAAATGATGGTTACATAAGATCAAATACCAATACAGACTCAATTTGCAAATTTCATTGTTGACACCGAGTTCTGGTTCTTACAGTATAAGAGTGAACAAGTTATTCTCAAAAGTTAAAAAACTTTGTTCATGTTGCAATTGTAGTTGTTATTACCAGCATTTCTACTGTTCATATTAAGGTGTTCCACTTACATTAACTTGCCATCAAATATTCTACAAATTTAGACGTGTCATGAACTAGATTCTTACCACACAAAAATAAGCCTTATTTGATGACATGTCAGTGTAAAAGTCACGAAAATATTTAATTATAAAATATTGCAGAAAAACGAGAACGGTGACAGTACTGTAATGACACGTCTGAGGAAGGTTATATTACACACACACACACACACTCCCCTCCTGAAATAAGGCTGACCTTAATTTCTTCATATATTGTTTTTTTTTCAGATATGTTACACAGGAACTATAACAGTGTGTGTAGTGTTGGCACTATAGAGGCTGGAGTGTACGAGGTGAAGGGAGTAATGATAAGTTACCTGGAGTGGTCAGCTGGTGTGAGTGTATCATGTGTGGTGGCGACGGCCGCAGATCCCCCCAACACAGCTGCTGCTCACCCACAGTTAACGCTCCGGCAAGCACGATAACGTCAACTTCTTGGTCAACATAACACATCACAACGTAATGATGATCCCAACTCACTCATACTCGCCTTCAGGTAACCACATAATTAATATTTGCATATTTCAAACTTATGCACAAAAACACGACACTGGTATCACTTGGTATTTCTTATAAACGCATAACAACGCGTAATGAAGAATCCTTAGGTGATCATCATGACACGAGAAACGCGCACCTCAACAGAAATAAAGCCCGTCCACAACTGTGCTGGAGAAGATGGCAGCTGATTACCCATAATGCCATCTGCGCGCTCCGCCGCCACGGCGCAGCAGACGAATTTTTTTTAGCGCGCGCGCTGAATTCAAACTAACCCAGCACTTTTTTTCCTCTACCAGAATTATTGTAAATATAATACTAATTATCCAGTTTTTAAGATCGAAATTTAATGTATAGATTTTTATAACCTTTTGGTATAATATCGAGCTTCGAGGAAGTTCTTTCACCAGTTTTAAAATAGTTTCCTTAGTAAGAGTGTTTCATATTTCATCATGTTTTATAGTTAAGCTTTGAGTCAGTACAAATGAATGACTTACATTCTAATTATCCGGTAGCCTCATCTTATACTGATATATATACACAAGAAAGAATAAATTGATATTTTAAATAAAATTCATAATTATAGCAAACTATGTATGTCTATAAATATCATAAACATTACATGACTTATGGTACCCGACTACTTAAGCTCTTCATTATTTATATACAGTTTGTTCATTTTTTTTTGTTCATTTATTTTTTCTCTTGAATGATGCTATACAATACAGTATTTATTAAATGCATATTTTTTTCTTGTCCGTTTAATGAAATTCCATTGACTGAGGCGTCGTTAAAAGAGACATGATAGTACATTATTGAAAATAATCAATAATAGTTTCTTATTGGCAACAAAAGGAGAGCAAAAATGTGATTTGAATGTACAGCACAATAATACAATAGACTTACTACAATCGTCATCTCTAAGTAACTGAAATTGTCAACTATCCACATATTTCACCCATCTCAAAAGTAAGCAATTTTGCAAAAAAAAAAAATCCAGACCAAAACAGACTACCCGTGGGGTCAGTGGTGTTCACAAGTATATCACATCAGATATAGCAAAGTTGATCACAGTCCATTGTGAGGCAGTGAAAACTGGGTGCTTCAGACCAGTCAATCAACAATAAGATGGAATACAGCAGATTGTTGGTTGGCATACACTCAGTCCGCATATTATATCTCCTGAGGTAAGCAATAGACTCTTGTTACATTTGTGATTTTATCCAATTTTCTGATGTTTATATCACTAAATCAACACGTCAGCTTCCAAACACTCAGTACAGTGAGTCCTCGCTATACCTTGGGGCCACAATTAAAATCAAAATGATGAATGAAGGGGTCGACTACCCCCATTGACTTTCATCTAATACACGGAAGATATGTCCCAACAATTGTATCTGTATATAATTGCACTCGGTGTTTTTACAATAACATCTTACAAAATGCAGTAGTATTAAAATAAAACCATTTTATCCATTAAAACATAAGTTAACGAAAACATCAGTCAGTCATTACTTTCCAGTTATTTTAATGAGTACAAACCATACTAATGCATCCACAGTACAAATTTATATTAACACTAAATACAGTATATACTTTTGGAGATACAAACTTGAGAGCGTTGGCAACCAAGCAGTCAGTTACTACCACACGTACACACTGGTTTAAATGGCTAAATTATTCCTCTCATACTCATTGTCATCTGTTACATCACTGTCCAGGACACACCAACAGGGCAAGTATATCTACAATACACTTCCCTTTTCTCTTATGTTTGGATCTTTGTTCAAGTTGGTAGAGACCGAAAGTTGACTCAGAAGATCTCCCTTAGACTACAGTACATACCAGGGATGGTTGTTGGGTCTATGAACATCCAACTCACTTTTTGTGACATTTTTACAGTATTTTTTATTCTTGAGTCTTTTGAATTTGTAATGTTTCGAGCACTAGTGAATTCTTCAGTTTTCAGAAACAAAGGACCTGGTATTATTATTACTATTATTGGCAAATTTGCATAAGTGGGCTCCAACTCAATTTCTTAATTAAAAACACGTTTTTTTGCATAGTTCAGACTATTCTAAAACACCTTTCGTCTATGGCATTTCCATCGGAAATATATATTTTTCGAGTATTTTAATAGATAAAATTTCCAACAATATTACAGTGATATCTCCGCTAGCCGGAACAATTGGTGCTGAGCACTTCCGGGAATGAGAGATTTCCGTGTAACGGGACGACTCTCTCAAAGCCGGAAAAATATCCCCCATCCGCAGAATTTTCCAGGTACAGTATCGGGATTTTTTTATGAATTTTCCGGAAATGCGCTACTCAGAAAATCATTCCCAAAGCCGGAATTTTCCGGAAAATTCCAGCTTTGGGAATGATTTTCCAAGAAAATTTTTATTCCGGCTATAGGAGAGTTCCGGGTTCGGGGAATTCCGGCTAAGGGAGATATTACTATACTTGTTTAAAGTGGGCAGGACTTTGAAGTGGAGGGAGAATGTGGAGTAAAATACTCAAATAACACCAAACAAACCCTTGAAAACTGAACCTAATTTTTCCTAACCTTTAAAAATACTAAAATTATAAAATATTTACCTTATTCACATGTAATAGGTGATGGTGTTGTTTTCGGTGTTCAGATGAGGAGAGATTCACAAACTCTAAAGTGATTCTTAAATTTTTTACATATTGTCAGGTCAGGTCAGGTTAAATTAAGCCATGGCCTACTAGAGCCCATTAGAACAGCGAACAGCCATCAGCAGAGGTGGGAAATATGACTGCGAACATCTTCATTTTTTCCGCCTCTGCTGATGGCCGTGTAGTATTTCAATGTGATTTTGATCTTTTAAAATGTTAGTTTTTACATAATGTAATATTAATTATACGTAATTTGTCTTTGTGTGACTTATTGTTGGTAAAAATAAATATACCGTATATTAAATGCGTCCTCCAAAAGTGTGTAATTTGCTATCAGAATTTAACATTTAATTCATGTTTAAGATTTCTGATTAACTTCCTACGTGCTCATGTTTGAAATAATGAATGTATGTATCTTTATATAATTTAGCTAATTATCATTCTCATCAGAAACGGTCATCCCAACGATTATGAATAAACTCATTTAGAAATACATCATTACTTCAGGACAAAATCGGACAGATTTCCAACTGTCAATCAGCTGTAACTCTTGAGGAGGGGGTGGGGCATCTCTTCTCAGCTGGGGAAAAATGCACTACAGTAATTGAAGACTATAGTACAGGACGAGAGTCATTGGTATCACAAGAGCTGGCAACTCTATGTACAGCGTTCAGTTTAACACTTTTGTAAGGCTCTATCAAATACTTCCGTACAGTACAGGTATCCCCCTAGATACTAACAGTATATCCAATAAATGAACAATCATTATCACAAACATAACCCCGTTATATGGTTAGTATAAACCATTGATGCATTAACACTACTGCAGAATGTTGGTTGTGTTCAATGTATTTATTATTTGCTATTATCTTTACAAGAATTATATTGGTAAAAAACCCACCAGTTGACTGACCTTTTCCCTACCAGAACATAATACAAGACTTCAATCATTCAGTTTAAGTTTTTTAAGTTAGATCCTTAAGTACAGTACAGTAGTATGTTAGAGGAAACCTGTACATATAAATTAAAGTACAGTATATAGTGCTGAAGGTGATGAAGGCAGTGTTGGTCACAAGGTTCAGTAGCCATACTGCCCATAATGGACCATCATCATCATGGTCATGCTTGTGTGGGTCAACCAAACACTACTTCCACTTAACAAAGTTCATTTAAGTTATAGTGGAGGGTTCATTAATTTTCAGAATTTCATATAAAATATTTATGTAAATTTATTTGATGTGTACAGTCACTCCAAAAGGTAACTTTACAATTTTGTGTGAGACAATATGACACAACCAAAGAAGGATTTTGACCACTCTACCGAGACAACAGGAGTCGCAGTGTTCATTTTGAATTTGATCTGTAAAGATACCTTCTGGAGTGCCTGTACATAATGTGGGGTGCATAATGGAAGAGTAATGTACATGCCTAGACAACAGGCAAGGTTCAAGTCTGTTTACATTACTTTAAGTATACAGTATTTCCATAACCCACTATGAAGGCTTTTTACCTCTCAAATGATGTATCCACCTTCCAAAATGTATCTTGTTTTACAAAGGCAACTGTTGAAACAAACATTTTGTTTTTCCACGACTGATTAGTGTCACTTTCACTGATCACCTCAAATATTTGTTAATGTTCTCAATGCTGTGCTGTACTGTACCACACACTTGTAAACACTAGATGTTATATCTTGTGCAAGTGTTATGTAAGGTTTTGACTCATATTCTGTAAAGGCTTCTAAATACAGTACAGAACAGAACACAGGTACTCCTCTAAAGAAATTTCAGCAATACAAACAAATCTCTCCAATTGACTGTTTATACATTAAAAGAGAGTTAAAGGCTGGTAAGATATACTGTAGAGTAATGTGCTATATTTATAAGCATACTTCTGCATTACTTGTAAATGATTACATACATGGTTGTCTGTTCACAGGTGATAGGTTTGTACATATCTTACAGTAAGGGCCTTGGTACACAAAATATGGCTTTGCCAAAGTCACAAGTCTTTTCTGTTTACATATGTGAACCCCTATGTTGATAATTAAAATAAATTTAACAATGAAGTTTTATTTAAAAATCACATGACAAAATTTTTAGGCCTGGGGCTCCTCATCCGGGGAACAGGGACACAGTCCCTTTTCTTAATTAGGCTCAGCCTTAAAGTGTCCTTCCGAGGTTCATATTAACTGGGCCACTAAAACAGTTCATCTCACCCTGAACCAGTGAAGGCCACCAAAGGATTCTTTCACACAAGTGTTTTTTGTCTCACCACTTAGAAATCAATGGCACTCAATGAATTTCTAAGATGGGCGATCAAAAAACGCTCATGTGAAAGAAGCCTTGCGTGCCCTTCACAGGGTGAGATGAGCTGTTTTCAGTGCCCCAGCCATTATGAACTTTGTAAGGACACCTTAGACTGAGCCTATGATGAGAAAAAAAAATGAGTCCCTGGCCCATGCCAGGTTCGAGGGATATGGGTCTCCCTCAAGAGGATCCTGACTCCTGGAACCACTAGACAAACAAGCATGCTGGTTCAAAAGCCATTCACCTCTTGGAAGAAGCCTCCTGACCCCAGCTCTCCTTGTCCCAGGATTCGGCACATCCTTGAGGACCTCCGAGACCCTTAAAAAAAAAAAAAGGATCCTCAACACACACAGAAATGTCCGAGTCATAAGCCCAGAAACACAATGCTCCGAGAGCAAGGTAATTTCCAGAACAGACTTCTGATCCCCATCCTAAAGGGGTAGGGGAAAGTGGGTCAGATGCAGTTGATTCCAGTTGATAGGTGACTCTCTTTATGGTTGGGTTCTGATGAAATGAAACCTGAACCTAGGATGTGGAAGAAATAATAAAAATAATCCAGTGCAGATTAAGTGGCACAAATCCTTCCTTCGCTTGTATAAAACTTCAGTCTATCCAAAGGTGTTTCCTCACTCTTCTTCTGCTACAGTACAGTAAAGTCTTATGTTCTAGTCAAGTTTCTCCCATGTATACATTACTTGAGTATAGTTTTAATTCATATCACCAGCCTTCCTTCCCTCCCTCACTGTAATACTCTTCAATTATATCTCCAGCAGACTTCCCTCTCAATTAACTTTAGTCCAGTCTTCCCTCGCTCTGACCATAACATAGCATACAGCTCACAGGTGGGGAAAGTTGATAATCTCCCAGTAATTTACACAGATGCAAAGAAAATTATCTAAATCAATTCTATCAGGCATTTGTATATTTACAGCAGCATATATATAGTGAAAGGTTCTGCTCTTCCTGTAGCTACATAAAAAAAGGATCTTGGGGTAGGTAGGCAAGCCCAGGATAAAGGAGCTTACTGGTAAGGTTAACCTACCATAAGCATGTACTGTACCAGGTACTATCATTCACTGTAAATGACCCATGGAAATGCATAAATTGTAACCCCTCAAAAATATTATGCATGTATAGTTTGACCCCAACTTTTTACATAAAAATTTGATCATTAAAACTTGAACTATACTTTAAGATACAGTAAACAGTAATTTCATTAAGTTACTTTGTGATTTTCTCTCTTACATAATTATTGAAGTAATATCCTCACTTTATTAAAGTTAACAGCACAGTGTTAACTCTCACTGTTATACACCACACCTTAAAGTCTTAGACATTTGTCAGCTTACACAACATCAGAAAGGTTAAAAAGTCTTTTCAAAAGACACACCAACACCAAAACTCAACACAGCTAAATAACCTGTCAAGTAATGGGGCAGGCACAACCACTCAGCACTTACCTCTACTACAGAAAACTAACTCAGACACATTCAGTACTATAAGGTAGACCAATGTGTACCTTCTTTCACAGAGGTCCTGGTCTGGTGTGATGGTAGATTCATTTGGTGTACAAATCACAGGTGGTGTAGTACATTACTTGGTGCTGCAGGACCTGAGGAGGTTGATAGAGACACACAGATTAGCCCCAACTTATTTCACTTGATGATTAAGCACCTTAATACTACTTGGTGGGTTAAGTGAGGCTAGGGTGGTTAATCTTAAGGTGAAATATGCTAGAGTGTGATCTTCAGATGATCCAAAATTAATTTACACTGATGTGGTTCTTTACGTGATTCACTTGATGTTTCTGAAGGAAGATAAATCGATGATTATAATCTGTTTAACTTCACAATTAGAGATGAATTTCACATTCTCTTAACCAACACTTTGTGGGATAACAGAGGAAGACCCATCAGATATCGATTACTGGTTGATAAGTACTGTACTGTCTATAAATGATAGTACACAGAGATTGGAAAGTGATAACCAATTCACCATTAATTATCTCATCATATATGTACATCAATGTACTGTGGTACTCAGCACTTGTTGCCTGTTTGAACATCATGTGTACAGTGCAGTGGTACAAAACAAAGTGCCCTTCTAGTTCTCCTCGTCAGTAATACTAATATGTGTAATTATATTAATCCTTTCAATCTGATTCATAAACCTTATAATTTTATGCTGGCCAATGTCAGACGATTTTATTCAGCTGAGGGAAACTTCCATCACAGCAGCCAAAGGGTTACTAACATAAATACAAGCACTGTACCAACAATCTGACTCACTAATAATTAGATTATCTTTGAAATTGTCATTGAAATGATGATGTATTTATTAATGTTTAAATATAGGTGTTAACTTTTAGAACAGTACGATGGTTCTATATACGATTGATCAGTTTTAAGATGTTAAAAAATAATCACCATTAACTGCTATGCAATGGTTAAGATCAGTTTTACGATGGTCACTACCCAAATGCTTTTCCTGCATTGTCACTACTATGAAAGCGATGTGGAATAACTCGCAATATTCCAAGACCTGATGATGCAATTTTGTGATGGCATAACTCTTACAACACATACGTGGGACACTGTGCCCATCCCCGGTGACAGCCAAGATGAGCAGTGAGCTCCATCATGTCGTCCAGAGGATAGTTTGCATATGGAAAAAGCTATTCTTTGTACACAAATTAATATACAGTACAGTACAGTACTGTACTGTACTGTACCAGTAAATGTGAAAAAAAAAACTGTGTTGCCATTTGGCACTCTTGTTACTACACACAAGACGGTGAGCCAAGGTCCTCCAGGCCTCTCCCTCCTCCCCTTCCCCTCTATAATTGTTAAGTTTTGCACACCCACAAAATTTTTATTCTCTTTATGTGTTTGACATTATAATTATTATAATTTTTTTTTTGGGGGGGGGAGGGGGGACACGCAATGTATTAAAGATAGTGTGTGCATATCTTCCTGTTGAAACAAGTCTAGTACTGTACATGTATGCATTTTAAATACTGTACAGTACTTGATATGTTTAAAATTAGCAAGAACAATTTGGCTAAATATTGATAACAACAAGTTAAGATGAAGCTGGTCAGACGGTCTAGTCTTATTAGATCCCAATCCAACCTACCCAATACAGGAGGAACATCTCGAGGCCAGGAGAAATTTACAAGGTTAAAAAGCATCAAGACAATGCTTTTGCAGACATGCACATGAAAGGAGTGAGGTACAGAATAGACAAGCAAGTACAAGTACCGGTACTATAGTCCCCAGAGGCACCAACTAGGGAACCAGTTTACTTAGGATGAAAAGGTTCTCAGTTTAACACCAGCCACATGTACAAGGCATCATCACGCCGGCCCATCTCCAATGGTTTTCTGCCTCGACTCAGTCTGCCTCTGACTCTCCTCTGATTTTGCAGCTGACTAAGTGTGTGTAGTGTAATTGTAAACAGAGAAACATGTTACAATCTAAGATGACCATCATATATTATAAAGGCCGCTAAATGAAGTAATATATAAACACCAGTGTGGTGCCCCGGGCATTACATGGAGCGGCGCCATTTGGCAGGAAACTCATTGTCAGATTTATCCCTGTACAGTATTATAAAGAAATATGTATCTATTGCAATGATTATATACAACCATGCATGAATAAAGGCATCCACATCAGTGGTTATACAGTACATGTGTACAGGTTTGGGTGAGGTAGTGTACCGCACATGTGGGAACTTATGTAATTATAGAATGTATACATAGTACAGTACAGTACAGGGACGGTGAAAAATAAATTACAAATGAGAGTGAGTGAAGATGACAGAATTAGAGAACACCACAAGTAAAGAACTACTGTACACTGAATATGAGGAACAACTCAATCATTCAACGAGCTGTTGACATTTGGACCATCTACCAGATGGTCCAAACAGGAGCATAAAGAGACACACAAACAGTAAGATATAAAAAAGGAGACAGACAGAAACACAAATGACTGAGTGACAACAACTTGTCTTAAGAGTTTGACAGGCGCAAAGATTTCCCCTATAGGTTATGAGAGCTGCCCCTTTAGTTTACCTTGGCATAGGTGGTGATGGTGCAGTGTTGGTGGTGGCACCTCTTGTTCCAGGCTCCACTTGGTCATTTTCAGCTGTTATGGTGCAGTTAAATTTTTCAAAGTATTGTTGTAACATCTCCTGTAACAAAAAAAAATTATATTTACTAAAAGTAACTAAGTGAAGATACGTTAAGTTAGGTCAGGTTAGCATTAGGGTGTTCAATATAGTAATCCAGAAGGAATAAGCTGGGCCTAATCTTCATGTTATCCATTCTTTCATCTGAGGTTCTAACTATGGCCAGTAATGAACGTCAATGACTTCACAAGTTGAGAAAAATTTAGCCAAGTGACATAAACAGAGGGCAATGTTTGGGCATTCAATTTACATATTGAAGTAAAATAGAGGTTAGCTTACTTCAAAGTTACGGCTATTTTGTTGGAAGTGAAGATACCATTTTGCCAAATTGTAAAATAGATATTAGGCCTCAGTCATGATTAGCTTTAGCTGGGGATGTTGTACAGATGCCGCAGCTACTCAACTGTTGCTCCAGGTTTAGTGGTCCTAACCAGGGAGTATTTTTACCCAACAACTCCTTTAGCCGCCATACAGTTATAGTCATCGTTTATTTCCCATAAAATTTATATAAAATGAGTTACTGGTATTATAATAAACATACATACTGCACCAGTTAATTTCCAATCACTTTATATTGTGATAATTATCCTGGTGTTCAATGTTCAGGTGTTACTTCTCCTGTCACGAAACAACAACAATACAACGACAGTGTTGCCAACTAAAAACCAACGTTCCCGCTACACTAGTTCCCAAAACCGCTAGATAAATGTATTCAAAAGAGAACCCCAAGTAACCTTATATACATAACCCAAATGGAAATTTAATAATGAATAAAATTATTCATATAAAGACACTATTGAAATAAGTTACATACACATATCATTACAGACTGCTAATCAACCAACTATAAATTATTTTCTGCTTCACTTGTCATAGCATATTACTGTTATTCCAAAAAACTTGTTAACACTAATATGTCTTGACTCATCTATCAGTAAACTGTACGGCTTGTCTCCAATAGCACTGGTTATGTCAGACACGAAATGTGGGTATATGATGTTTTTAATTACATTTTGATCTTGGAATTTGTGTCAGAGATGTAATCTTACTATCAGTGAAACAGTTTTCTCAACGCTAGTCTCTAGGTCATACAGTCACTCCCTTCGTTACTTCTGTGAATATTGAGACTTGGGCATTTTGCTGTTTGGCAATAAATTTTCAAATTAATGTCAATCATTCACTAATAACTTATTGTAAACCCGACTTCCAGCAAGGCAGCAAGCTGACTGTGAAGAGCTGCAGAAGGACCTCTGTGGGCTCCAGGAATGGTCGAAGGAATGGCTGCTAAGATTCAATGTCACGAAGTGTAAGAGGATGCACCTGGGGCGTACCAACGGTAAGGAGGCGTACCATATGTCCCAACGGGATGAAGAAAATGCACTAGTTGAGACTGTGTGTGAGAAGGACCTAGGTGTGTATGTTGACAATGAGCTGAAGTTCTCGGGCCATTGCGAGAAGAAGGTAAATCAGGCAAATAAATTATTGGGTCTTATAAGAAGGTCGTTCAGATATCTAGACGGTCCGTCCCTCGTGACGATCTTCAGGAGTGAAGTGCTTCCCCATCTGGAGTACTGTCACCCCATCTGGTCCCCGAGGTATGCTAGGGACTGTCAGTTGGTTGAAAATGTTCAAAGGAGGGCCACCAGACTGGTGCCTGCACTTCGGCACCTCAGCTACCCTGAGAGATTGGAGCGCCTGAACTTGCCTAGCTTATACTACAGTCGGGCAAGGGGGGACCTAGTTGAGGTGTATAAGCATCTCAGGGGGGGAGGATAAAAGAAAAAAAAAGTAAAAAAAAAAGATACGGGAACGGTAGACCTCTCACCGGGGAGGGAACAAGGAAACGGCAAGCAGAGCGGTACAATTCCTGCGTATAGTTACAATCAGTTATTCTCTATTCGTATTATTGCCGGCAGTTCTCTGATTTGCCCTGCCATCCCGCTAGAAAATCGCTATCCAAATATCTCATCCCGCTAGTCGCTAGATCCATTTTCCTCCAGCTAGATTGAAAGCCAAACCTCGATTTAGTGGGAAAACAGCTAAATTGGCATCACTGTAACAATGTCTGCCGCTGACGAATGACTGACGGGATGCGCAGTGGACTTGTTAATGTAAATAAACAGAGTTAATGGCTCATTTATTATGATAAATTACATCTAATGACCTGAAATATCTTTAACAGAGTCATAAACTGTACATGTAGTATGTATACCTTCGCATGTGTCACTAGTGTTATTGACTAATAAAAAAAGATAAACAATAACAAACAATAAGATGGCCTGAACCACTGTGTCAAACTATTGTGATAAAGAATAATATAATGTATAGCTTTAAAAAACACAAAATTCAGTTAAAAATCTATATCAGGCTGATGAAAGAAAACGTAAGTGTCAACACGGGACAATAAAAATGAAGATTGACGCCACAAAGACTTTTACTATAATAGTCTTCAAGAGCTGCAGAATATATTGTTTACTGAAGAGAACAAAAGTAAATAGGATGACAACTGCTTAAAGGTAAAGAACAACAAGACAAAGAGGATGAATTGATCAAGTATTTACACTGACTGACAAGTGACGCCTTGGAAAAGAGAAAGTATTACTATAATTACAGTATACAGTATTTGTGGAGTAAGATGAAGCTCATATGGTAAAGAGAAGAGTGTAAGACAAAACCCCCCTGAACAAACCTAACCTAACCCAAGGGGGTTTTGTCCGGACCCCTAAAGAGAAAGACCTTGTGGTAACTGCTGACTTTGGTATTGGACTTGTTAGGTTCATCATACAAGCACTGTATCAAAATTGTACTTCATAAAACTTAAGGACCTACTTTTTATATCTAGGGACTTAAACCTTCCACTAACCTTGCAGGATAAAGATTTGTTTTGTGGCCTAATTATTTTATTATTACTTAAAAGGTGTTTTCTTTCTGTATTGTTGTGATTTTAGCAAATCTGAACATTATTTATGGGCACTGATGCTTATTTAATGATACGGTCCCTTTAACACTACCAACGATAATGATGTCTCACAAAGTGGTCAGGGCTTTGAAGATGAGGGAGTGTGGAGTTTATTCACACACAAAAAAACACCAAACAAACACTTGAAAACCTAACCTAACCTAACCAAGGAAAGTCCAAATAAAAAAAAAATTACAATTTATAACTAATGGATGAGGAAAAAGTTATAATATTTGGAGATTCTTCAGGTGTATATGAAGTGACTGGGAGAAGAGCTGGTTTGTGTCATCTTGTTGCTGAACTGTCATGACCAATGATCTTACAAGTCACTCTCACTGAAGGGGTATAGGCAATGAACATATACTCTTAGGTTTTAGTGAAGAAACATTTTCAGTAATGTTCCCTTTGCACTGCCCAGTTTCACAAGTTCTATCAAACACTGCATACTTAATTTTTTCCAGCTGTGAATATTAAAGAAACATCTAAATTAATGCACCTTGTTAATTATCCCTTCTTCATATCCCTGACAACATATATTATGCAGATACTTTTTTTCTGTTGGTGGTGCACGTCCATACACTACACTACCTTGATATCAACACACAGCAAAATTCATTCCAGACTGTGATGTGAATATTAGAGATAATATTGAAACTGTTAGAACTTACTGCTATACTGTATAAATTCCCCATACAGTACAGTACCCACAAAATATTAGACCAATATCCCAGATTAACTATGATTAAACACTAGATAATTGTATCATATTTTTACTAAAGCCGGTAATGTACTGTACTGTCACTTGATCTAAAGTTATTAATTTATTTGTAAGATTAATACTATGACAATGTTTCAGACACTGGTGACTTCACATTCAAGGCCAAATGAAACATCAGGTAGAAACTCACGATGTCAAGTGAAGAAGAAAAGTTCTTTTGTGAGGAATGTGGTAAACTGTTCTACAAGAAGCTCAGTCTGCGGAGACATCTACTTGTGCACAGGAGTGTCAAAAAATACAAGTGTGAAGAGTGTGGGAAGTTGTTCTCTCAGAAATGTAAACTTGAAAGACATTTCCTTGTGCACAGTGGCATAAAAAAATTTAAATGCGAAGAATGTGGGAAAACATTTACACATAAGAGTACTCTAACTGATCATTATCTTGTGCACACTGGTATCAAGAAATTTGAATGTGATGAATGTGGGAAACATTTTTCTCATAAGAGTACTCTTAAGGATCATCTGGTCATGCACACTGGTGTCAAGAAATTTGAATGTAATGAATGTGGGAAACATTTCTCACGTAAGAGTACTCTCAAGGAACACCTGCTTGTTCACAGTGGTGTAAAAATGTTCAAATGTGGTGAATGTGGGAGACATTTCTCACGTAAGAATACCCTCAATGATCATTTAGTTGTACACAGCGGTATAAAAAAGTTTAAATGTAGTGCATGTGGGAAACAGTTCTCACAGAGGAGTACCCTAAGGACACATTTACTTGTGCACACCGGTGTTAAAAAGTTTAAATGTGAAGAGTGTGGGAAATATTTTTTACATAAGAATAATCTTAAGGATCACTTACTCCTGCACAGTGGTATAAAGAAATTCAGATGTGATCAATGCGGGAAACATTTCACCCAAAACAGCACTCTCAAAAAGCATTTGCTCGTGCACACTGGCATCAAAAACTTTAAATGTGATGAGTGCGGGAAACTCTTTTCACACAAGAGTAACCTCAACGACCACGTGCACGTACACAGTGACGTCAAAATCTTTGTCTGCGGTGAATGTGGGAAACATTTTTCTCACAAGGGTCGTCTGAAGACACACCTACTGGGACACAGTGATGTGAAGAAGTTTGGGTGTGGAGAGTTGTTCTCCCATAAGAGCATCCTCAAGGATCACTCACTCAAGCACGGTGGCATCAAGAAATTTGGTTGTCATCACTGTGGGGAACACTTTGAACAGAAACATGGTCTTAAGAAGCACTTGCTTGTGCACGAAAAGACATAGATCAAATGAATGAAAGAATATGTAAATACAAAAGCGGAACCCAAGGAGACAGTCAACATGATGTACCTTTCTTAGTGTACAGTAATAGCATCCTGTTTGGTATTGAACTTAAAACTCACAACTTTTATCACAAAACTTCAACAATGACAAAATATATAACTTCCATTCTCTTTTATATACAGTACTGTGGCACTCAACCCATCTTGAATGATATATTGTAAACATGTTTGTGTGTTTTGACTACTGTGGTACCCTGTTTGAGACCATCACATACAGCATATGACAAACTTTATCCCTTGTTATCTTACAATTGTCAAGTGAACAATAAATTATATACTGTATGTTTTCTTAGATTTTGTGTTTAGTAAATATATAACTAGTCACTTATTGTATCTTAGCTGAAGCACATAGATAGTATATGAACAAATATATGACTGCTCTAAATCCACTGTGATTTAAACAGGTTGACTTGGTTTTATAGTGTTACATAGTGAGTTAGAGCAAGTTATAATATAGGCTGTAAGGCAGAGTTACTGTATTATTAGTCTCTAAGGTGTAATATTTCACATGTACTGTACTGTAGTTCATGTACAGAGTGGTGCACCATACAAAATATTTATCTTCTTATCTTTTTGTCTTTTTTAAGCTGAGGAAATCATAAGAAATCAGTGAAAACGACAGAGAAATTATAACACAAGAATAAAAACACCATTAAATACTCACGTATGGAAACCCAACACCACTATGTCGACTTTTATCTTTCCGGACATGAACATTGCACCAACTCCTTCCTCTGGTGTTAATTTATCTTGTCATCTTTGTTTAACTATGGTGTACTGTATCAACTATGAGACATCCAGTGAAGTATATAGATTGACTTGGAGGTGATGCATCAGTAAACATATAGAGCTTAAAGGGCCAGTTTGTGCATTGAGAGAGAGACAATACCTGTACAGTACACAGTACAGTATATTTGAACAATAATATTTGAGTCAGTAATAAACATAAACACAAATACAGTATTTACTTTAGTCGATATAATGTGTAGTTATGTAGAGTATAGGTTCCTGTAGAGTGATTTACTGTATTATGAAGGGATTATCATAGCTGTGTTGTTTAATACTGTTGTAGTAATTTTAATGTACTAATTGTATTGGATATTGTATTAGAGTATTGCATTACTCCAACTATTGTATCGTACTAAAGCAAAGATGTCTAATAAAATGGTCAAATGTGTGGTGATTTTAACTATCATGTGTTAACCTCAACCAAACACTCGGACAACCTCACCAAACACCCAGCCAACCTCACCACTCAACCACATACCTAGTCAACCACACCAAACACTTTCTTGGAGACGGCTGATGACAATAATTACAGTACAGTACAGGCATCTAGGTGTTAGGCTGGACCAATCAGTGAAGGTAGTAGTGAAAAAAACAAAAAACAACTGAACTTATGTTAGGAATTATAAGTCGTAGCTCCACATACAAAGATAGAAAACGTTCCCCCAAAGTCTCTCATACTTCCCGGTCTGGATTACTGTATACAATACAGGCGTGGAAACTCTACTTCCAAGAAAAGGTGCAACACAAAGATGATTCTTGTACTGTGTTATCTCGAGTATCCAAGCCTCAGAACAAGGGGTCATAAACATTTAAAACCTTGAAAGAAATAAAGAACAAAAACACATTATTTTTTCGTGACATCATGCCCCACCAACTCTTTCAAGACCAGACTTGACCAACACTGGAGCGGGTTCAGGTACATTCAGGAGCCGGTGCATGCCCAGTACTTGCCAACAATGCATAACAGAGATGTGATCAACCGCCCAAGTGGCTAACGAGCCAATAGTGGCGAGGAGGATAAAATTAAAAGTATATAATGTACACGCAATGCAGGTATAGTGTACACACGATGCAGGTATAGTGTACACACAATGCAGTAGTGTACACACGATGCCGGTAAAGTGTACACATAATGCAGGTATACAATGTACACTCATGCAGGTACAGTATACAACCATTAGCAAATATCAGATTGGTGTTGGTAATTATAATGTACAAGTATGAGATTATTGGTGAGACATTATGGGTACCAGCCTATTAGGCCAGGATCTCACTTAACTATTAAGATTGGAGGAAGAAGAACTGTACTATAGCGAGATGACGACGAGGCTTCAGTAGCGGGTCACTGAGCTACTGTACACAGTCAACCTCTCCCTCTTACTGTCGGCACTCACTCCAGGCACTCCCCCCTGCCCTGACCCTCTCTCCTCAGTCGACTCTCAACCACGACAGGGCAAACATCACGGCTCGCGTCTCTTCCCAACCAGTGAGTGTCTTAATTATTTATGGATCAGATGTTTGTTTCCTATAATTAGTGATAGAAAAGCTACTTACTTTCAGTGCATTTACCGAGTCATTTTTGGTTGTTACAGTTATGTCCAAGCTTAATTAAGTCACTAATGTCTTCTTGCATTACCATCTAAGAGGACATTTTTGACGTATGAATCGCTGAGAACTCAAAGAGCCGTCTGTAACTAAAGTCAGAAAAAAGTTAGTATTCTAACATAATATAAATACGACAACAAATTTATTTTACGAACCTTGAGAAATCCAACCTCCAAAGGCACTAAATTGATAAAACTCTTAAGTTATCCCTAAACCGAGAACGTCTATTCCAATAATGTTATCTGAAGGAATATTTTCATGTAGCCTATCATGTTGTGTGTACACAGGGCAGACTTAAGAGCATTACATACTACAGTGCAATACAGTACAAGGTCAATAAATAACTTTTTCTCACCACCTTGACCAATGGATGGTTGTAGTGTGTAAGGCTGGAAATTAATGGTCAGTGATAGAACGAAATTACCATACGATTCTCTATTATTATTACTTTATCCTCATGTCTATTACGCACTGTTGGCAAGTAATGTACTGGGCGTGTACTGGTACCTGCGCCACACTCGGTGCCGTCACAACTACTGTATATGGTACATTATTACAACAGTTCACAATTGTCACCCCGAAAAAGTTCTGAAAATTTTCTAGCCTTGTAACTCATCAACCTTAAGTTGTGACCCCTAGGGTGGCGGCGGACTTCTGCCAGCACCAGGTACCTGTCCCGCCACACCATATCACCTTCACCCCCACTGTACTTCGCCACGCCTAGTACATTGGCACTTGACATTAATAGGGACCTGCCACACTTTGCCATAAACAGATAAATTGTACCGGGAATTTTCCCCCCACACACTCGTCATTCTGTCACTTTATGAATAACTTGCTGACAAAACCCATGACCCTTCAGGCTTTTACGCCCTTAATGCATGAGTCATAAAGGCAAGCATGAACTCCGCATGCTTCCCCGAGGCGCACTGTAAACGCTTCTGCGCTTCACCTTGCACAGGATGTAAGGGGGTGCCCAATAAACTAGCCCCCTCGTGGGCAATCTAAAAAAATATAATCTAGACTGAGTTATGTTTATAAATTACTATTAAGTCACCCCTCGTCCGCCTTCAGTCTAACCTAAGCAGTTGCAGGCGCTCTAATCTGGTGGCCCTCCTTTGGATATTTTCAATCAACTGACAGTCCCTAGCATATCTCAAGGACCAGACGGGGTGACAGTACTCCAGGCAGGGAAGCACCTCACTCTTGATGAGCAACTTTGGTTTTATTCGCCAGTAAACTCGATTATGAAGACCCACCTTTAGTCGGCGAGTTAATCTTCACTTTACTTCAACGTCCATTACGGTGACAACCTGCCAGATGACCTATATACTTGGTGACCTAAAGAGCCGCAAGATGGAGCCCCCAAATGCATTAGTATATTATTAGTTACGTCCGGAAAAATAACGCTCAGAATCCGGAATCTACCACCGTCAGTTTCACCACACTTGCGTCATCAATAATTACGCGGCTGCCATTGGAGCAAGAGGATCAGTTACAGCATAAATAGGAACACAAGAGAGGCATTTATGAACTGCAAAACAAAGGCCTTTCTTTCACGTACCTACAGTATGTATCCTGCTTTTGTTAATTCAGTGACGACCAAAACGGCAACACTGCATATACTGCCCTCTTGCAGCTCTTTAATTTAACTCAAAAGATGCATCCTCAAAAGCTCCAGCTTAATTTTATACCATATATTACGAAAAAAAAAAGAAGTTAATATAGTACGTTGGTATATAGTGGTTTGGGTAAGGGGGAATAGTGTAGTTAGTACTGTAGATAAGAGTGTGGTTGGGGTATGTAAGGCTGCAAGAGCGGAAAGACTGACTCAAGACAGTGGCGGGTCTGTTGGTGAGCCAGTCAGTCAGTCGTTACACACAGCATCACTCACGTATAAACTCTTCCCTCCCCACCCCCTCTCTCTGGTGTCATTTGTTACTCATCATACACGAGTATTATGACCACCCATACATACAGGTACACATACAAGGACAGGAAGAGAAATTCCACACAAATATAACGGCACCGAATCGCAGTTCCTGATCAACATAACATAACCAAAACGGTGTTAAAACTGCACTAAGACTGTGTGTGTGTGTGTGTGACAGGACAAGGCTCCTCTTCAAGCTTACGTAACCCAAGACCTTCCCTCTCACCCCCTCACTTCCTCTGTCTCTCCCCTCACCTCAGCCTCCCTCTCACCTTAGCCTCCCCTCTGACCACTTTACACGTGTTAGCGGGTAAGTATAGATAGATGAATACTTAGTTCAATCATTATGAAATTGTACATTGATTCAGGGAGAGGGAGAGAGAGGGAGAGAGAGGGGGAGAGGGGGAGAGGAGGGAGGAAGTAAGATAGTGCAACAAGGGTGTAACTGTTCTACACAAGGTGGTGGTTGTGAGAGAGAGGCTGGTTTCTGTCACAAGTCATTAACTGGCTGTAAGATTAGCCTGACTTTCCCTACTGACTCTGTTCGTTGTTGTTATTGTTGTTAGTTGTTGGTGTAGGTGTGTTTCTACCGATCATTACATAACGAAGGATTAAAAATTATGTACACACACACAGACACACGATATTATTTTTCTCTTCTCCCTCACCTCCCTCCCTCCCTCACCTCCCTCCCTCCCTCCCTCACCTCCCTCCCTCACTCACCACCTCATCTACCGTCAATCAGTAGACAAAGTAGAACCATAAAACAGTCAACACAATAGGACACCATCTACCTTTATCTAGTTAAAGATAAATGCCACAAGTGCTTCTCATAACCTAACAAGCCCACTTCACCTCACCTAACCTCACCTCACCTCACCTAACCTAACCTAACCTAACCTAACCTAACCTAACCTAACCTCACCCCTACCTTAAAATCTAGGTGAAGCTCACGTCTCTGCCTTGTTTACATCTGATCAACGACTCTATGTAAACAAACCTGAGTTACCACACACTGACCTTCTCTAGTGACCTGATATTGTGGGTCATGATCACTGAATAGTGTTTATAATGACAAGCGACAGTTAGTATAAGCAAAGACACACTTATGATCAATGAGACACACTTATGATCAATGAGACACGCTTAAGATCAATGAGACACACTTATGATCAATGAGACACACTTATGATCAATGAGACACACTTAAGATCAATGAGACACACTAATGATCAATGAGACACACTTATGATCAATGAGACACACTTATGATCAATGAGACACACTTAAGATCAATGAGACACACTTATGATCAATGACACACTTAAGATCAATGAGACACACTTATGATCAATGAGACACACTTATGATCAATGAGACACACTTATGATCAATTATGATCAATGAGACACACTTATGATCAATGAGACACACTTATGATCAATGAGACACTTATGATCAATGAGACACACTTATGATCAATGAGACACACTTATGATCAATGAGACACACTTATGATCAATGAGACACACTTATGATCAATGAGACACACTTATGATCAATGAGACACACTTATGATCAATGAGACACACTTAAGATCAATGAGACACACTTGATCAATGAGACACACTTATGATCAATGAGACACACTTATGATCAATGAGACACACTTATGATCAATGAGACACACTTATGATCAATGAGACACACTTATGATCAATGAGACACACTTATGATCAATGAGACACACTTATGATCAATGAGACACACTTATGATCAATGAGACACACTTATGATCAATGAGACACACTTAAGATCAATGAGACACACTTATGATCAATGAGACACACTTATGATCAATGAGACACACTTATGATCAATGAGACACACTTATGATCAATGAGACACACTTATGATCAATGAGACACACTTATGATCAATGAGACACACTTATGATCAATGAGAGACTTTAATATACAGATGAGGGAAACTACCATTTTGTTTTGTTTTATTGTTTCTTTATTTGACTGTCTCTCTGTCTCTCTGTCAGACTGTCTCTCTGCTAGACTGTTTCTCTGATAGACTGTCTCTGTTAGTTTGTCAGTCTGTCTCAGTATCTCACGAGTTAGGAGTCAGCGGTGACGTCACTGTTGAAGGGGGGGGTCTTAACGATGCATTAACAGTTAGTTCTTTGTTGACTGTACGGGGGGGGGGAGGATGGGGAGATGGTGGAGGAGGGGATGGTGGAGGCGGTGGAGGGGGAGGTGAGGGATAAGGGTAGAGGAAAGGGGGTGAAGGGGAAACGGGAGGGGGGAGAGAGGGGAGGGGAGGAGGGGGAGTAAACCTCTTGTCCCATCAGTAGGTTAAACAAGGTCTTTATGTTTCAATTGATAGGCTTATTTTCTGGTGTCTGAATGTCTGTCCCCGTGTGTGAGTGTCAGCCAAGCACAAGGTTAAAGCAACAGTGAAGAGATCAAAGTACTGTACTCTTTCTCTCAACACATTCTTCTGGTTCATCATGTACCTAAACAGTGCAGGTAAACACATGGACCAAGGGCAGCCGACAGCGCTCCCAGTAGTGACTTAGTGGCAGAGGGGACCTTTCTGTTTACCTACAGTAGTGGCGTAGAGTCGTGCCCGTTGACAGTCACGCCTTCAATGTATTTTTTCTTGTCTGTTCTTGATGATGAAAGAACGTATCTAACCGCCTCACTTAAAGTTACAAGATCAAGTTAGATTCTCAAAGATTCTTACGTTAAAATTTCCCCTTAACTGGTGGCGTAAGAACGTATCTAACCGCTTCACTTAAGTTACGACACAAATACCAATTCTTAAAGATTCGTTCATTCAATTATCCTCTCAAACAATAAGTGAAGACGTGACTACGCATCAGAACATCTCTCACACACGACACGACATATGTTCACTGTATGTTCCTTCACCTTTCTCTAATGAAGGCTTTTGTTTAACCACCAATATATGTAATAAGTCATTTATGTCCAATGTACATTTTCAGCCTTCGGGCTGCAGAAATTTTTCAATAAACCGTTAATTATCATTATTATTATTATTATACTCACTGAAAATGGCGTCAAAACAGCGCTCAGACCGTAACTTCACTTAGGGAGAAAATTAATATACCAAACTTTTCAGAATCAGCAGCCGGGCGTTCACAACTGCCGGAAAAGAGCAAATATTTTTACTAGAGGAGACGTGTTGGGTTACTGCCTCCCTCACCTTTCACACGCGCCGCCAGGGGGGGGGGGGGAGGAGGTGGGTCGAGGGGTAAGAGGGACTATAGCTTCCCTCACTCTCCCCCTCTCCAGCTAAAACACGTAGTATCCTCACACCGCTACACGCCTACTGCCACCACACGGTTACTGGTCTACCACCACCACCACTACTACTACCACTACCAGCATCAAGCTAATATAAGCCACTATTACCAGCACTACCACTACACAACACAGATCCACTACACTACCACCACTACACAACACAGATCCACTACACTACCACCACTACACAACACAGATCCACTACACAACACAGACCCACTACACTACCACACGGGAAGGAGACTAAGTGTATAACATCAAGTTTATCTTAAGTATAAGTGGGACTCCGGGGTACACCTAACGTAAGGTGGGTGGTGAGAGGTAGAGGGGGGGGGGTAGAAGGAAGGAGGGAAGAGGGACAGGTAGAGTGGTGAGGAAAGAGGGAGGAGAGAGGAAGAGGGGTGAGGGAGGTGAGAGGTGAGGGGTGGAGGAGGAAGGTGAGAGGTAGAGGTGAGGGAGGAGGAAACCCTAACACTATAACCTGGCCTTTAATGCCTATCTTATTAACGTAACGTACTATTATTATGGCCCAAGCTACACAATAATAATAAACCCCATAACAGTTTGGGGTCAATATCTCTTCAAAGGTCATCATCATCATGTAGGGGAGTGGTCATCATCATCATGTAGGGGAGTGGTCATCATCATCATGTAGGGGAGTGGTCATCATCATCATGTAGGGGAGTGGTCATCATCACACGGGTACACAGGGTTTGTTTACTTTCTGGAGACGGGTAGCTTAATGTACAAGACAGGGGTGCCTTGCCTTGCCTTGCCTTGCCTTATCCACCAAAGTAAACATACGGGGCCAGATCCTGAAGTGAAGACGATGGTTTGATACTCCTGGTTTTAGGGGAAACTTTATTGCGTCTTGGCGTAAGGGTGAGTTATGCCATTGCGTCATGTAAATTGGCTTCAATATGTTATGAAGATTATCTGGTATTATCATGGAATTATTTACTTTAAAGATAATATAAATCTTGTTTAATATATTATGTTTATCGCCTACCCTATTAACTAATTTTACGAGAAAATTACGCAACTCGGCTTATTTCACCTGATGATTTACCATTTTAACTCTAACGTAACCCAACCCCCCTCAGGCGAGCAAAGACGAGGGGAGATTAATGTTCTCTCTCGTGTTGACTCACTAACCCAAGTATCACAATGTTTCAGAACGGGACACCACCCAACCTCACCGGTAGATGAGGTCCAGTGATCCTCTCCCTCAACCCCGTGTGACCAAGGAACCATCTGTGACCCAACAAAAGTAACTTGAAGAACTCTACCCCCTCCCCACACACACACTCGTCCTCACCAACTATACCGACTCTAAGTTTACCATAAATAAAAAGACAAAATTGAGTTGGGAACGATAAGAGGAAGTGGAGGATAAAGAAACAAGATGGTGAGTGTGTGGCTGTGTTCACTATCTGGAGTGTAACGTTCCTTGGCGGCAACTGTAAACAATGCCTTACACAGTACTGTACTCACAAGTACACACTTCACCGTGACTGAGGAGAACACTGTGTTGTGTTGAACCTTTTACCCTCCTCACGTGTCTGCTTAACTCTACATGAGGGATAAATAGTACTGTACTGGTAGACAAATCCCTTATAAGGACGATAGTTGGTATATAATTCCTCTTAAGGAAAGTGTGTGTTAATGTTGTGTCAGTAAAGGAGGCGGAACAGCACCACGCACAAGGAAGTGAAGCGCGCTCAGGAGGACTTTATCAGTGATGAAGTGGCGGGGGATGTCCGGGGTGGGCGTCCAGGAGCCGTTAATAAGGGGCCCCTTACTGGCGCGAGGGCCCTGTATCCTGCTGGTGATGGTGATGGTGCAGGCGGTGACGTGTGCCCACCCTCACCACCAACCACCACCACTCACAGTAAGACCACCCACCTCAAGTTGTACTCCGTCACTACCACATTACCTCCTCTACTACTACTATTACTACATCTCAGTAGTACTACTACTACAGTTCACTACTAATATTGCTATTTCTACAGCTCACTACTACTACTATTATTACTACAGTTCACTATTATTACGACTGTCCACTACTATTACTACAGCTCACTACTACTAATATTACTACAGCTCTACTAATACTACAGCCACTAACCATTACTGTTGACACTTGTAGCCACACTACTCGCCCGGCTACAACTGGTGCAAATGGATTCACACCAACGCCGAGTCCTAGGGCGGTTTTATACCTTCCTAACTCTCCTGTGTTTGTCGATATCAAACAGCTGTGAGAGATCAAATACCTGGTACAGAACGACTCTTCCTCCGCGTGTGTTGGGACTAACTCATCCCCTATAAGAGTGACGTGTGTATTGACCATAACCCAGACTTAGTTATATGGCATTCAGGGTTCGATAAAGGCATTCAATCTCACCCAGGCAGTGTTTTAGGGTTGGATAATGGGATTTGAGGACCAAATAAAGATATTCATAGCCTGTATGAATGTCTGAGCTATTGAATTGGATCACAGATATTGTCCTATATAAACAAATGTTATGTTGACAAATTCTGTATGTGGATAACTATCGTGTGAGCACATGGCAACTAATTTAACGTAGGCATAGACTTGTTTTATCACTGCTTGTCTAACAACAACAACATACGGAGTCTTTGTTACTTGTTATAAACGTATTGTGTGTGTGTGTGTGTGTGTGTGTGTGTCGTGGTTCAGCTTACAAGATCCCCGGGAAATTGAGCCACTTGCGTCATGTTGTAAGGAGGAAAGTCACACTTGAAGCTGTTGAAAGACCCGCCCTGTCCCTCACTATATGCCAGCCTTCCTCTTGTGTGTGTGTGAGAGAGAGATAATTGTGTGTATAGCTATGAGTGTGTGTGTTTGTGTACTGTATATGTGTAGCTGTGTGTGAGAGTACTGTATGTGTGTGTGTGTATGTATGTATGTATGTATGTGTATATGTATGTGTGTGTGCTGTATACAGTATGTGTATGTATGTATGATGTACAGTATATGTCTGTATGTGCGTGTATATGTAGGTGTGTGTGTGTTTACTGTCTACAGTATATATGTATCTGTCTGTCTGTGTTATTTTGACCCATCACTCCATTATAACATAAAAGAGCTGAAATTTGGTGTAGTTATGTAAGTGATGGCATCAAACACACACCCAAGCAACGCCGGTTAACTAGTCGTAAATAAGTTGTCTTGTAACCTCAGTTAAGAGCTGATAAACTTACACTATCTCTGAGAACCACTGCCCTGTGTTTACGTGTGTATGTCAACTTTGTATACACGTAAAATGTGTGAGAGATATGAATGCCTGTGTATATTTGTACATGATGGACAGTATGTGTCCTAAGTATGCATATGTATATTTTGTCCTGACAATTTTCTGAATTTGTGGCTTCTTCACGTGTATTTGTGACTAACTATCACCACTGAACTATCAAGTGTAATCACCTTACAGACCAGCACTACTAAGTTGCGCCCAGAGAGAGCCGCACTAACGCCTCCCACAGTAACATCTCTACGACCTCCTGACAGGTAAGACACATATTGCTCTCACACTCACCTTTACACATCATCCGTCCACACTCAGGTCTTGACATCAAATAAAAGTTAAATTGATCAACTATTTGCAAAACCAAGAAAATCATCAACACTAAACATTGGGTTCATTAAATAGTACCATATGTTTGTATATAGTTGAGCATCAGTTCATTCTGAAGCCATACTAGTAGTCACTGTACATCAGAGTCGAGTCTTTGCACAGATAAATTTATCACTTACAATTGTAATAGTTATTTTAAATCAATTCTTTCTTGTCTTAAATAGTTTAATCAATTCTTCGACATTTGTGTTTACTGTGGACAAAGACGTCTTGTTGTCATACATTTATCACCTGACAGAAGTAACAGTCATTTTTCTATCAGTGTTGCATATATACAGTCAGAGAACAGTCACTTCCTGGATCTCACTAACAATAAGCATCTGATGGCTTTGTGGTCTATACTGTACTTGGTCAGAATGCCTAAACATCAATTAATTATTATTATTTTCTTTATAAAGTGCCATACTAAGGTTATGTGTGTTGCAGGAGTAAAAATGGACATGATGCTGTGGAAATAACAGTACGGGGCAAACACGGTGATAGTAACAGTCCCCCAGTCGTGGCCAGCCTCTCACCTTCCGGCATTAACCACCCACAAGATCCTCCCCGTCCCAACACCCAGCAGATAACACCCGACCGTCCGCCCACAGCTCCCCTGGCAACTGCTGCTTCAGGCTCAAGGGCTGAAGCAAGGCCCACATATTCTCTCTTAGATCAACAGCACATAGTCCCTGGACCTGCTACCAACGATGTCCCCGCCTCGAGGCTACACGGGATACGGCCACTTCCATCTACGTCATCATCCTGGGACAGTCACAGACCAAGATACCCAACTCATAAAAGACTTCCAACCAGCAGAAGGGTCTTTGAGCCAATGGAGGATGATTATGCACTAGTTCCCATGAGCCCAGAGGAAGGAGGTGGTGGGCTGGCACACAAGGACATAACAGCAGAGGAAGGAGGATCAGGGGAGACACACAATGCTGGATGGGACACAATGAATCACAGTCCACGCATCTCCCAAGGTCGCCCAGACACTTTCGGCCACGACATAACAGAAGACCTCACGCACCTCCAAGATGAGTAAGTAGTCATCATAAACTGTGTCTTTACAATAAGGTCTTCCAGCTATTTTCACTAAGGTAAATGATGTCATGTTGTCCAGATGTAGTTTACATCTTTTGAGTACGATGACTTAACCACCTTGAGTATGATAACTTGAGTCATCCTCAAAGGGTTCAATAAACATCTACATGGAGGCCCCAAAACCCCCACCTGAATCTGACACTGTACAGTATTATAAGAATATAAAGTAATATAAACAAATGGAAAAGTATCACTAACAACCATTATACTAACTGTCTATGTTTGAGCTTTAGAATCAATTGAAGAAAGTACGTACTGTAGATCATCCATAATTAGAACCAATTCATACAAGTAAAGTTAGTCGATCATGTCTAGTTATGTTCTGGTTATGATTAATGCGTGTTCTCTAATATGTAAAACACATCAGTAATCTAGTCATGAAATAAATTGTACTTGAGAAAGAAGGCATATTTATAATTACAGTATATCATGTGCTCGTTGACAGGTATTCACCACGCAACAGTCAAGGAGGAATAACTGGCCAAACATTTTCAACATTCGACGAGACAGATCACTCGGCCTCGTGGGCAACTGGGGGCGACGCTTCCCATATCTTAGATCGTGAGTATCCACAGGAGTCGGGCGTCAGAGCTAGATTTGATCGATATTATCCTCGTCAACGTCAGTTTGGATTTCCAGCTCGTGAGTACCAGCCTGGTCCTCGCATTACACACGACAGCGTCCCAGAAGAGACCACAACAAGAGTCCATGGCAGAGAGTCCACATCTCGTCAGTTTCCAGGTCGTATTCTTCCCCCTGCTCATCAAATAACACCTGAATCTTATCATGAAGGCTATGGCTCACTAGACTACCCAAATAGTAATGAATTTCAACCTAGGGACCAAGGAATCCACAACACACAATCATTCAGGACAAATCACAATGCTTTTATCACGACCACAAGTTCACGCAGACCTCTCAGTATCCAGGAAATTGTGAAGTTAGCAAATCTATCAAAAATAGATGACTTGCTGTTGCTTTTAAAGAGGAAAGGCATCCCTTTTCGAAAACTTCTTGATTTCGTGGAGAACAGAGCAACCGAACAAGACATATTACTGTTCCTCGATAAACCGGATATTTCTACCACACCTCCACCAGCCACCACACCCTGGCCAGAGTCAGATGAGAAATCTGTCTCTGATCTCTCATTTACTGATGAGGTTTATAATGTCTCTGTCTTAGGAAATAAATCTTACCTGTTAACAAAGAGCAGTGAGACCTCCCTAATACAGTCGACTAAATTTAATGAGTCGTCTCCTGATAATGGTGGTGGTCATAACACTGTAAACTCTTTTGTGCCTTATAACTCACACTCTCAACTGCCTGCAGGTCCCGAGGAGGAGCTGAACGACGAAGGGCTCAAACAAACTGAAAATGACGATGAAGAACGAAAACGAAAAAGAAAAAGAAAGAAAGAACAAAGAGACAGAAGAAGAAAAAACAGAGACAAGAAGAAGAGACAGAGAGGACGCAAGGGACAAGAAGAGGCTGACCCCAATCTTGTGTACACTACAGCAATACTGCCAGTGGACAGCAGCAAGAATGAAAATGGAACACAGTTTCCTAGCCCAACTCAAGTACCAATATGGATAAACAAATCAACAGTAGCTCTCACTTCAACAGAGACACCACGTGCACTGACTGTGAAGCCTCTACACCCTCTCTCAACTGTGTCTGCTTCACCACAACCTCCATCCTCCAAGACCACGTTAAGGGCCGTACCGCCACCAACAACGCCAGAGGAGAAATCGCTGTCTACAACGTCTCCTGAAGCCAAAGGGCGTGGAAGAGATAGCCTGACTCTCCCACCCATGGGCAAAACAACCAAGGCTTCCATTGAAAACTTAACAGTTATAGAATTACCCCGAGAGACAGACGGTGAAACAGTGCCCAAGTACCACAAGCCAATAAGGAGACCAGACCACCAAAATCCTCATCTAGATGTACACAGACAACACAAGGAGAGACACAGGCCGCCAAAGGAAGTGTTTAAGGTTCCCAAGCACATCTCAGGATCAACTCCTAAACAAACTGAGAATGAGTTTGAGGGGAGAACTAATTTTGTGAGGGAACAACAGAAGGATGATTATATTTTCCCAATTAAAGGTATGTTAATCATCAGCGGCGTCATGGGTGCTCTGGCAGTGTTTACTCTTGTGGTTCTCATCTCATATGCAGTCATCAAGTGCTCTAAAAAACCCGTTGTTAATAATTACCAAGTCTCTGAACAAAAGCCAGTCACCCAATAAAAGTAATAAGACTAAACTCATCAAGTTCTCATAGAGTATAGGCTGGTCCTGCCTGGAGAAGCTCACCACTGGGACTAAAGCTTAATATACACACAACTCTCCACTAATGTAATGAACAACAATGAAACATCTTTACTTAATTTCAGGCCATAAGTTTCCAAACAATTACGGCTGTACTGTACGTGTCTTGCCTGACACCACCGGATCACTCAGGTCACATATGCTGGAACACCAACAGATACCTTGTACGGTACTGTACATCAACACACACACACTTATCATTACTAAACTGATAGTACTGTAGTATCCTGTATTCTGAGTTTATTTAAATGATATACTGTACTGTACAGTATCTTTGTTACCGGTAATTATAAACACTGCATAAACCTTTAGTTAATAATAATGTGTGATATGGAAACATGCACATTTACTCTCCTTAGATACAAATGAGTCATTATGTACAGTCGGGGTCAAAAGTTTTCCACCGTTCAAGATAAAGCAGCATCGACCCCAAATGAGACACAACATAAGTCAGTTCGGAGACCCATTCACGTGACCCAATTTTACGACGGAGAGCTAACTTTTGTCCCCGACTGTACTGGAAGACTTGCATTCCTGCCACTCAACTCAAAATAAATGTTTCCAGTGTTGAGAACAAGACAGACTCTCATAACACATGTGTTGCCTCTAACTAATATTATTTATAATATAATTTGATGTTTTTATTCAAAATAAATTATTATTGTAAGACTTGGCCGCACCAGACTGAGAAAATATAATAAAGATTTTGACACAGACAATTTTCTTAATTACTTGTCCTTTTTTTTATCCTAAATGTTAAGCGGCTCTGTGTTTGTGTGGTTAGGTTAGGTTTTAAAATAGGATAAGTTAGGATAGGATAGGTTACATTAGGGTAGCATTACAGTGGCTAATCTTTAAGTGAAATAACCTGGAGTGGAGAGTCTTGAGGTGTTCCCAGATCCTAAACAATGTGCCCGCCTCACCAACGTTAAACTACTTCAGGCTCTACACTTTACCCAGGGATTGTAAACCACAGACAAACACTGAGCTACACTTCCAAGATCTATTATGTACCAATAGTCCCAGAAATACCACAAGACACTCAATAACTTGGTGCAAAATACAACTGGAGTCTCTGATATTAAACTAAACATATAAAAACTTACCTAAATTTTAATTGATAGTTGAATAATGATATGCATGACTGTACTATATGTTCCTGTCTGTAGGGATAGAGAAAAAATATTTACTCCCTTCATAATAAATCAGGTTGAGAATACACAGTGATGGGCCCAAACTCCTACACAGTGTATGAATAATGTATTAGAATTGATGATGTGAGAAAGGTGTCGTAAAGTTAAGACTAAGATTGAAAATTTTTGCAGGTTTAGCCATTTATGGATGACCTGAAGATTAAGCCCCCAAGAGCTCACCTAAAGATTAAGCCCCCAAGTGCTCACCTGAAGATTAAGCCCCCAAGTGCTCACCTGAAGATTAAGCCCCCAAAAGTATCAAGGGGGGCTAATCTTTCGGTGATCCATAAAGGCCAAAATTGTAGATGGTCACAGTATTGTTGTGGTCACATCACTCACCATAAAATGTGATGTAAACTTGGCTAACATCGGGATAATGAAAAATTCTATTCTATTCAAAGCCGACTTAACAAATTTATATCTGACAAAATATAAAAGACAAATACCGTGTACTGTATATTGTTATCAGTGTAATTAATACCCCTACTGGGCCCTAAACCTAGGACTTCATGGTAAGGACTAGAGTTTGAGGTCATAGCCACTGTTACCAGACAACATCACTACTGTAAGCCCATCCCTCAGGCTCTGGTTACTGCCCTCTGCTGACCAATAAAACTCTCTCATTTGGGGAGGGATTAACTGTATATTTCCATCAGATCAGATATAAACAGGCACTGCACAGCTCACTCAATGACTGTTTATGTAAAATATAAAATTCACAGTAAAATTAGAATAAACACATTAAATAAAATACATTATAATTTAGTTTATGAACCAAACAATATTGTGTTATGATTAATTCACTTCCTAAATTTTCTATGACTAATTGATAACGATGTTTCCCGACGTTCGTTTAATTAATCTATCTACACGGTTATCATTACACCGTTAATACTGGTTTATATAATAACACTACATGTACTAATAATAACAGCAATACAGTTATAATAAAGAACCAGTAAATATCTTATTCCCAAGATATAACCATTACAGTACTAGAGAGACTGTCAATAATAGAGTACAGTCTTGAGCCAGAACTAGTAGTGCAGCCTGACCCTCACAACAATAAACTACACACACTCACGATGTATTACAAAATTATTCCCGGAAATATCTACAGCACTTATCTCCGAGGTTCAATCTCTGGTCTATAAAGTTACCGTCACTCGCATCACATTATTAAAAAATATTAACGGCGGAACATCTATTTAGCGGACTATGGGGAATGTTGTCCGCTACATCAAGGGTCCGACGGATCTGGTCTGTACTGTGTGCCTTCAACCCTTTCTAGTTACTTTCTGTACTTGATATGATCACTTTTCTATATCATGTCATTTTCTTCATGCACAACACACAAGAGATGAGCCAAGAGTAATATGTAGAGATGTTATTTACTACCAGAGGAGAGTTGTGCCAAAGGACTTCTGGAACACCTCTTACACTCTTGAGTTTAAAACTGGACGGCCATTATGTACTGTCAATGACTTTTCTCTATAATGAAGTCTTAATATACTGTACTTACTAAAAAGTTGCCAAGTGCACAATTTATCCAACATTATCAAAACTATTCTGGTTCTTATCTAGTTAATGTATAAACTATTATGCCAAGTATTATTAAAATTGTTCAGTCCATTTTTGGGGATATTTGGATCACACACAAATAACGCTGACACACACACATGAAAAACATTAAAATCCACGATTTCTTTGTTGTTGTTGTTGTTCTCAAACCACCGGGGCTATTTGCACTATTTAACACGTCACCTCCCAACCCTATACCGCACTATAGGCACGTCGTAAACACATCAACAAAATACTATTACTCAAAATGATCTTTTCCGAGAAACACTACACACACTTGTTCCTCATCACTTTATACACAAAACCTCACTGTACTGTACATCCTTTTGCTGTATTAAAGAGAATCTGTCTCATACCCAAACTTTTCACCAAGTCTTCGAGTGCTGTAATGCCGTACTAATACAGTAAACACTATATTTTTCTGATCATTTAAAGCTCTCACTTATCACTGGAAACCTTTCTTTATATTTGTGCAGAGTAAAAATTAAGTCAATTTTAGAGGTTATTCAGGAGTCCATAACAGTAGAATATAATAAATAAATGGTTTGGTTGATCATTCACAAGAGAAAGACACACCATTTATTAATGCAGTTCTTCACCTCCTTTATGTGAGAGAAAAACCCTCACTTGGAGATGTGTGACGTGAGATACAACGCTGCATCCCTCAAGATGATCTTTTCACAGATCACCTGAGAACGGATCAATGAGTCCACACCAGATAAAGTTGGCAGGGCTGCTTCGTCCTCCTGGTGACACGGATCATTTACAATAATACACATATATACAGTATGTATGTATGGATGCATGTATGTATATACAGTATGTATATCTTATCCTTATCTATATTTGGGACCGTTCAAAAAAATACACATACAGTATACTGTACAGCAAACCCTCGAAAGTCAGGACAATTTGGGGGGAAGGGGTCCAGACTTGCCGATTGTGTGTATATGCATGAGGCAGGTGATCTGGTAACACTGTAAATGGAAGAGTTGACAGATATCCTTTAATTCACTAGTTATTTAAGATTTATGATCAGAGATTGAATAAGAGGAGGAAGGAAGCATAAATGTACAGTACTGCACAGTACATTAAACGTACCTCCAGTGTGGTGGGATAAGACCTGATGAGAAGAGCGACTCTGATGTTAAGGAAACTCCATGTCTTATCTTGTACTGTTGTGCCCACATCACAGTCTTCATGCAGGAGTCCTTTGGCCTTCTCTCCATCATCCTTCCACTTGTCTAAGGAAGCTACGAAAAAGAGGAAGCAACATGAATACTGTACACGCTCACATGAAAAATAATTATGAATAACTTCATCAACTAAACCAAGATCAAAAGATGCATAAAAGGGTTCCCTGATATTATTAATGTATAGTACAGTAACTAGTGAGGGCCAATAGGCAACTAGTGAGGGCCAATAGGCAACTAGTGGGTGGCCAATAGTAACTAGTGGGTGGCCAATAGGCAACTAGAGGGCAGCCAATAGGTAAATAAGGTAAAACAAAAATGATAGATAATACACTTGTCTTGCCTTTATCCATACAGAAGACTCTGATGAACGCCAGTAGGCCCGGGGACACTGGATGCTGGCCAGGTATGAGCATAAAGGAGCCAGCAGATGGTAAGCCTAAGGAAGAGAGGAGGGCCACCTTCTCATCGTGTAGAGGGTCGTCCTTACTCACACCTAACTTGATGGCTAGACTATCATTCTTATTATCTGTGTGAGTGAGAGATGTATTAATTTCCTCTCAATTATTCATATTTCAACCTATATTTAAACTATTTCTCTATCACAATATTTCTATACAGTCTCTTATTTTCATTAACTGTATGTGGTAGAATGATTTAATTCCACATTAAGAATCATCATACTTATTAATGTCTAGTTAAAGAAGCTTATCATTCTTATCATTTCACTGTGACTCACCACTACCATGACGCCTCTCTACACCATCCACGATCATCCTTTGAGCAAAACTTCACAATAACTCACCATATAAAAACAGCAAAAAATGTTGATCAGAAAATCAATAATTTCTTTACCTCTATAAACAAAGCCATTATGAAGGAAGAGCTCAGTGTTGGGCCGTTGACTGTAGTGTATAGAGAACTGCTCCCCGGCCTTAAAGTCTCGCTGGGCCAGACACACACTGCAGTTCTCCTCGTTGTCGTAGTCTGTTGAGTACTGAGACATACCTAACAACGTCAGTGGTCTTCCCAATTATAACACTCAGTTATACATAAAACTACCTTAGTAATAGTATTTAGTTAAAAGTAGCTATATTAAAGTACATTTGCCTTAGTGCTTAGTTACAAATGGTCATATAAAAGTACATTAGCCAGTGGTCATAACTCAAGTCCTCGCCTGCTTCAACACGGGTACAAAATAAAAGAGTCTTATTTAAAAACTGAAAAAAGATACTGTACTTACAATGCCTTGCTCATGGTTGGTCATATCCCAGGCAGGGATGAGAGCCATCTGGCCACTGGATTCTTTAACTGGGACTCTGTTCTGCCGAGTCATAACTGTTGACACGGCCCATCTGTAGAGAGGCGAGAGTAGAGACCATCACACATTAATATAAACAGAAACTAAAGTTATAATTATGCTGTGTCAACCTTCCCCAAAACTTACACTCTATAGAATGATGTTCATTTCTTGTAGCGTTTTCATGAAAACTATTTGAGGGAAAACCTAAAAAATTAAGGAAATGGTAAGACAGTGCAAGAGAAGTGTTGAATGAAACGGCTAACAGCTGATACAACAACCAGAAGCTGGCCACACACTCACACATATCTTCAACTTGCAAACAAATTACATAAAGATAATACATAACCTCCATATTAATTACAACAATAGGTTCAGTATAAAAAAAAAGAGTTAATCTGGAATTTCAAGACAAACGTTGGCTACATTGAGGAACACAATAGTACTTTGACAACTATTTTGTCACTTAAAACTTTTCCCACAATAACACAAGTGTGGTCAAACACACACACACACACACAGAATCTCCCTTCACTGTCATTCATTAGTCCTCAGTGATGTAGCAGAAGTGATCTACCACACTAAAATATTCCTCTTCTATGACAAGTCCTCAAGTACCCATCTAGTTACCCTCCGTTGCATCACACTACCATCCCCCAAAATCACTTAATGTCCTGCTCTCCAGTCACTCACACACATCAATGCCTCCTGTAAGTCCTTCATCTCCTATTTCTGATGCACCTTACTCCTCCTTCTGTCATATAACACAACATAATTTTAATAAAACAGAAGACAGACAATGAACCACTTAATCTTTCTCTTTGCAACTGTGTCTTTGTAAACCTGGAGGTGTCATGTAGGATACAGTCTGATGAACAGTTGTGTCTTGAGTACAGTACAGTGGAGGCATATCATATGAGACTGTTCACAAGAATGAATCTGACAGCTTAATTCAGTAACCACAGTGAAATGATAAGAAGTATCGAACAGTATCATAAATCAAATTGGAAGTTCCAGATTCAATTTATAAACTAAATATACAAATTAAAGATATGAGCTGGAATACATATATGGATACTTCCACATGTTATCAATGAAATGCTGTCCTGTCACTCTCTACACATATCTCTCCCTTATCGTCTCCTTTCAGCTTCAAGGCTCCTGTACCTTATGAGTCACCCCACTTAAGAATAAGAGAAGATTAAAAATAATGGATGGACATTGTGTTTAATTACTCAGCAAATATCTCTCTATAAACAGCAGCAAAGTCCCCAAGTGTCTCTCAACAAACGTGGAGGGCATGAGACACTCACCTGTAAGCCTTAAAGGTGAAGTAGTCTCTTATGGGCCAACTTTTAGCCTCTGGTGATGACTGCAGGATTCGATAAAAGTAGGAATATTGTCGTGCAATATTTCTGAATTGCTTCACGGCCTCCTCTGTAAAGTGAGTTATTAAAATTAACATCTAATAAAGGATGAGAGAATGATGAAGTGTTGGGAAATAACAACAGCAGCTTGAAAGAATGAATGACAGGAAACAAGCATGTGTATGTCTTGTTTGAAGCCAACCCACCAACCCAGAAGGAAGAAAGGGTTTGTGAGAGTTAAGAACTTAAATATTGACTACACCAGGCTCATCTTAACTTCAAAATTTCAATACACAGTTCAAGCAAATGGTCACAAGTTTAATTCTTGACCACAGTTGGGGAGTGGGTAACAATCCCTTTAACAATTTACTGCTGTAAGACAAGAGTTAGAGAGAATGGATAACACAAACTGAGAGGATGGTTTGTGTTGCTCATGATTCTCTGGCTAACTGATGCCATATAGAAAAAGGCTTACAGGTGGTGGTAAAAACAACACTGATAATTATGTTGTTAAAGTTACCTAACACTGGTGATCCCTTGAGTGACTGAAGCTGTTGTGGGGTGAAGTACAAGGTGGTGGAGTAAGTCGAGGGCAGGATGCGCAGGTATGGTTGCCACGACGACTGCGGGTTTACAAACTCCCCAAGAACGTGTAAGGCCAAGGCCACGTTACCCATGTGTTGTAAGATGGGGTCACGTTCTATTAGTGGACCTGCGACAAGTACGGTACAGTAATGACCAAGTCAATATTCAGCACAGTACAAAACATCAGAATTTGTATCAATCTTACTCTAAAACTCACATTCTTTGGTATTATTATAGTTTCGGTCAACTGGGGAAGCTTGGGAATTTAGGTTAAGTTAGACAGAGTTCCTGGATTCTGTGGCTAGGTTAGGTTCAATCAAAATCATTCAAAACACGTCAAAAACCACTGGAAAAACACAGGGATGACCGAAACTATAATTCACAATATAAAAATAATAGAATTCTTATCTAATATATTCAAAACATTACATGAATGATATAATTTATTCGTCTACAAATTCTTTCTAATAAAAAAGGTGCACTACATCTGTATCACTAACAACTATTTATCCTCATTCAGTTTTAAATGACAAAAACATCATTTAACACAAGTACCAAGTGATGCAGTTAATCCAACAAAAATAAGGTCTCTCAATATCATCTCATTAATCAAAGGAAATTAATATTAAATCAATTAATTTTCACATCTCAATAATTTGCTCCATCATGACTAACTTTCATCCAGCAGGAAACAATAAATACATGTACAACTAAGGAGCATAACTTACATCTAAGGAGCATAACTTACATCTAAGGAGCATAACATGGGAACCTTCAGAGCTAATCCGTAAAAGTGAACCTCAACTGTGTGAGCCTATGAGTCAGTATTGTAAAACTGTCAACAGAAAACAAAGGTCAACATAAAGACAACAGCCAGTAGAGTGGTACACAGGTCAGGTACAGTACGCACCCAGGTACGACTTTCTGGCAGTCTCCTCCGTCAACATGGCCTCGTAGGGGACGGTTATTATCTTCTGCCCTTGACTCAGATCTTCAGTTGCTCGGAGACCAAATCCCTCGTGGCCAAATTCGGCGATTTCAATTCCATTGACCTGAAATGATGAACTATATTTAACAAACTGCTGTACTCCACATAATTATACCCATTTCTTAAAACCCTCAAGTATCCCCCTTACAAATAATACGTACTCTACTTAAAATAGTTCACTTAAATAATTTCAACTGCACATTTGAACACACAGACCGTCTGGAGTGATGCTTGATTTTTCGTACATTTTTTTAAATATTTCTGGTGTGTAGAATTGTTGTTGTATATTGATGTATTTTCATTAATTATCTATCTCTTAAACTATTTCTTTCTTTCATGTCTCTATATTTCCTTCTTTCATCTCACTTATACTATTGTCAACTTTCACCCCTATTCCATACAACATTTATAAAACTAACACTGTACAGTACTGGTAAGTTAACAAGACAGCTGAACAATAATATACTCAACACAAACCATTATTTTTCTCTCCTTCAGCCAGGACATAAAGGGTGCCACTTGATCTGTCCGAGTATACGTCGGGAGCTGGATATCTGCACAAGACAATAAGAAATGAGGCAAAGATGGATGTCGTTTTTCTGTGTTTCTGGTTAATAACAAAAAGATACTTGGCATAATATTTATATTTAAGGGATTATCAAGACTCTACAGTGAATCCTCCATATAACCAACTTGTTTCTCCATTAGATGAGAGTTTCACATCTAACCAACTCTCGATTAATGGACTCTCATCTCCATACCGTAGTCTGCTAAATAGAGGTTCCACTGTACTATATAATACTGAATTTCTTATAACCTACAGTTATCATTTTAACTACTCAAATAAGACCGCACAAAATATATATAAAAACAAATGGAAAAGAATTGAAATAAATAACAAATGTGATCTGAGCTGAACATCATCAAAGACAGAAACCACTTATAAAAACAACACATTAACACTAAACAGCAGATGAAACCAACAACAATAACCTAATCAAATTAAATTATGCTTGTGTGGTTTGGTTATTTGTGTTAATACACTGAGCACTTTTTAATAGATGTTTTTTGCTATGGACTGAGACCCTTAAGAGCTCACTTATTAAATGTGTGATACAGTTCTTTCCAAAATACAGGTACAGTAGTTCTCACTTAACGAGACTTTCCACAACATGAAATTCACACAGCACAATACTTTTTAGGAATGTAAGTACACTAAACCCTCAATAAGTGGCAACATGTGGGGCTCTAACCATTGCCATTTTTCAAGGGTTTACTGTATACTGTACCTACCTGACATGTCTTGTTCCACACATACCTTTCTCTAAGTCTTGGATCTTCTCAATTAACTCGTATATTTCCAGGTATTCAGCCCATTCCTGTGCTGCACTCGGGGCAACGGCTGGAGGCACTTTTGTACAACCTATTACAGTATAAATCATTAGTGTGTAGCCATATCCATTACCCACACCAGTAATACAGTTTACAATGATAACTGGTGCAATGCAGCATCACATTACCTGTATACAGTACACCATATATAAAGGCATGAAGTATATTTAGGTTCTATAAAAGTTTATTTGTACTGTACTATAGTCAACTCTGTGAAAAACTTACGTTTGAAAACATCATCAACGATGGCGGTCAGCTGCCCTCTGATCTGGGGCAGCAGCTTCACCGGTCCTGCATTTCTATTGGTCGCCTTCTTAGCATTGCGTTTTTTTCCCATTGTGTTGAAAATGCCTCACTGGTTTGTTCCTACAAAATCAGACATAGTTCAGTGATGGTAAGTTTCAAATCAACAGTCTGTGCCAGTACAGTACAGTTATTGCGAGGGAAGACAGTCATAGCATAAATCTATACAGTATGGCACGGATTACTGTACTGTAATGATTCTTTACCAACTTACAGTATTCTATATTTATGCATTTTAGTTTATTTCACCTATTAATGTTCATTAAAGTATTGTACAGTATACAGTATAGTTATAGTTTATTTTATTACTTTAACCCTCACAACAGCAGTAGAGTATTGTGACACACATCACCTCCCCAGTGGATGGACCGCTCTCGTCAAGTACATGTATACACTTTCCTCGTCGTCTCTGTGCTCTCTTCGTTAGATGAGAAAATATTTATCTTCTAAGGAAAAATTTTCTCAAATTTCTGGTTAGTGTGACATTTTCTTTAACAATTACTAACTGAAATACTGCGCTGCTTTAGGAGTATTAGACGGGCTTAGCGGCGCCTTTATTACCTCATATAGGATACTTCACCTTGGAAAATTAATACAACGACAATATAAGTCCAACACCACTCGTTGGCCCACGATACCTTAACTATGAGATGAAAGCAATATGACGTCTGATGGCAGGTGGACGAGCCGTATCTCTTACTGGAACGCGTAACAAATCATAAAATATATATCACGCAAAATGTATTGCTCGTGCACTTTTTGTCGCTGTTATGAGGTAAGATGTCATTTGTGTTGTAAAGTGAAATTTAATATTATACAGCAGGAAGAGGTGTGCAGCTCATCTAGACTATTACTGTACCTTATATTGCTATGGCCATTTAAAAAACCTACAAAAGGTATAACAAACTTTACCTTATCCTCTTCGCCATTTGGGCTTAACCTAACCATTAATAACACAGGCTGTCATATAAATATCCACTATGAAAAACGTTTGAAATTTTTCTGGACTTCAACCTAAAGTTGTGACCCCTTGTGAGGCGGACATCTTCCAGCTCCAGGTATGAACACTAGAGTCTAGACTGAGTAATGTCCTCTGAGGTGCTGTTGTAAACTTCAAATAAGTCACGCCTCGTCTGTAGTATAAGCTAGGCAGAGTTGCGGGCGTTCTAGGTGCAGTAGTGGTCCTTCTTTGGAAGTTTTCAACAAACTATATCATTAAACGTACATAAGTTATAACAAAACTAATTAAATAACGCAACATATGTTTATTTCCTTAATTAATGTACGCGTGATATAGAGGACTACCCTAGAGTAGGTCACCTCTCACACCACTACTCAAACCCCTTCTTTCTCACTCTCTCATGTCTATTACACATTCATATCCTCATTTACCTTCAGCGTGTGTACTGTACTTACTTATATATTAGTATAAGTGTGGGCGGTGTAGTAGTGTCAAAGGTGCAGTAAGCTTCATCACCCGCGGCTATTTTTGGTTACCAGCTGATCACAGCATCATCCGAGCCTCGCCTTGCGTATCTTTATTTATTAAACCAAACTATAGGATTTAATTTGACTTGGTTAAGATTCGTTTTAGTTACAACACGGAACTATATATTTTTATTTATGTAGGGAAAAAGAGCAAAAAGAAAATGAAAATACTTTATTACGTTTCCGTTGCAAATTCATATTTTTCAAGTGCAGTATTTTGTACTTTTCGATATCACACAGGAAGTCAGGAAATGAAGGTTAGATTCCTTTGAAACAACACAAAATATAATAGGACAACCTATTTTTTCGTAGTTTCCGATTTTTGTTTACCTAAGCACGGACTCTTGAATGTACAGTCAGACACAAAAGTCCTGCCGCCTCCACTCCTGAACCATCATCCCCGAGATTCAGACTCGTGAACCCAAAGCATTAGATACTGATGTATTCTGTCCACATATGCAATGAATTCACGAGTCTGAATCTCGGGGTTCGTGGTTCAGGAGGAGAGGCAGCAGGACTTTTGTGGGTAACTGTACTTTCCCCTTAAACATGTGACAGGGCAGTGCTAGTCAAGTGTGGACATAAGGAGCTAACATTTGGTAGTTACTGTTACAACATTCTCTGGCAGTTTAACACAACAATTCACAGCTCATAATACCTAACAAGTTAGATTTTATTTAGATTGCCAACGAGGAGGCTAGTTTATTGGGCACCCCCTTACATCCTTGTGCAAGGTGAAGCGCAGAAGCGTTTACAGTGCCCATCGGAGAAGCATGCGGAGTTCATGCTTGCCTTTATGACTCATGCATTAAGGGCGTAAAAGCCTGAAGGGTCATGGGTTTTGTCAGCAAGTTACTCATAAAGTGACAGAATGACGAGTGTGTGGGGGGAAAATTCCCGGTACAATTTATCTGTTTATGGCAAAGTGTGGCAGGTCCCTAGTGCCAGGCCTGTCACTAGGAGGAGGGATAACCGGTCAGGGAGGGAAGAGGTGTTGGTAACGGCTGGGGACCTGCAGGAGGAGGTCATAGTCTACCTGTACCCCACCGGCACACGCCTTAACAAGTTATCCCTGACATATTCACAGCTTTAATAATTAAGGATGTGACCTCCAGTGGGGCGACCATCAACTGACTCCAGATATATACATGACTGAGCAATATTCTGTGAGGTTCTTATAAATCTGTATTAACCCTTTATCCTTCTATTGTATAAACTAGGCTACTGAAATCGTTCTAATCTCTCTTGTAAGTGAGGTCGACTGACACTGGACGGGCTCAATCAAAGAGAACTTGAAGGATGATCTTATCAAATAAACAGTCTATCCATCAATTCATGTATACCTCCTATCTATTTACCGATCAGTGTGTGTGTGTGTGTGTGTGTCTTACAGGTTTCCCGTCCGGTCATGCATCCGTCCGGAGTTGTAACATAACTTATGAATACTGTACGGGTCTTGGTGTTGACTCCGAATACTGTAAGAGTTGTATACAATACCGGTGGTCCCCAATTAGTTGTAGTCATTACCCCAAAACAAGACTGACAACAATAGTCATTACTTTGACACAACATCTGTCTTGTTCAGTACGTGAAGCAGACGCGGTTCTATCATGGGAGAGTGAGGCAAGAGGTGCCACAACTCTGCCGTGTCTGAAACATGGAGTGGTTGTGCATGGAATCAAGAAGCAGGAAAAATATGGCTATATCTCATGGGCTGTCGTTACCCCCGAAGCATATCAAATTACCCTTGGGGATAATTGACCCCTAATTGGGAACCACTGCCCGGGTGGTGAGAGGACCAGAACACCACTGAACACAGACATCATCTCTCGCAACACTAAACATTCACCTCGCTGCCTATAATATCAACACGGGTACATTAACTGCATCATGGGAAACGAACAGGTGAGGGAGGGGAACTGATGACGTCATGAGAACTAGGAGGGGGGACTAATCACAACTTGGCGTACTAACACCCAAGATTGCCTCACCCAGTCTCCCGTTGTTTCAGTTCCCAACGACTATATAAATATTAAATTTTGCCTTTTGATAAGCCAAAACAAAGTAATAGAAATGAAACACACAATACACAAATCCTATTCAATATAGTAAAAACCTGGATACTCCTGCGTTGGTGTGTGTGTGTGTGTGTGTGTGTGTGTGTATGGTGATAATTTTGTATCTTTATATCAGTGGAATTGTAAACCAAGACGCGTTAATGTTACGACGCAGTAGTGTGTGTATGTGTCCACTAACCTTCACCACTTGTTCTCACCCAGAATCAGGCCAGATGTATACGTGCACACTTACCTTCAACCAATGTACACACACACACACACACACACACATATATACTGTATATATATATATATATATATATATATATATATATATATATATATATATATATATATCCCTTGACAAAATTATCCAGAACAATGGAGGGATCCTACACAGGCCAATGGCCTCCTTCCCTCGGAGTGGCCGCCTCTAGTGGCTGGTCATTAGGTAAGATAAATTATTATTTATATTAGAGGGTCTACCTCTACATCCAGTTCACGTTAGGGTTATTTCCACTTGCGGCCAAACTAGTTCAACAGCTGCCACACGAGTTAGTTTATAAGGATACCATTACCTTAATATATCGGATTACTTATCCACAATGCCGTAGGGCCGAGATTACCTTACCCGCCGGTGAATCATCCCACATATGAGACCACTCAACTTAACACTTTCTTCACTACACAACCTTGAACTAACCCCCAACAACAAATCATTCCCACAAAAGACTCGTGTTCGGCCTTGTTTTGAGACTTTTTCTCCCTAACGCCAGCATGGCAATGAATCATATTTTATTAATAAAGAATTTGAATATATTAATGGTTTAAGAGTATATATGGATGTATTAAGGGAAAATGTTCGAGACAGCGAGGTTGGAAGGTTAGTTGTCAGCAGAATGTGGTTGGAGCCCTAGGGGGGGGGGGGGTATGACCGGATCAGACCAGTTGAGATCCGTCATTGGTCCTGTCAGTTTTATTCCTTATCTTGCTTCTTGTATTACTCCTGTCAGTTCTAACTACAGTACTGTCAGTTATATTGCCAAAACATGGAATACGCCCCCCCCCCATACACACACACGGACTACTAAACCTACACCAGTTGTCTGGGGGTCGACTCCCACCCTCACCCCTCAACATACCCCTTCACCCCCACGTACCCCCTTCACCACCCCCAAGCCAGACAGGTGAGGTACACAACAGAAGGAACGGACACAGCTGGCTGGGTCACCAACAATTGTGACTCCCTCGGCTCTGCCTGCCTCAATACTCTTCCTCCTGCCTCTTCGTCTTCCTCTTATTACGACTCTACTTCTTCCTCGTTCCTCCTCCTGCCGCCACTGAAGAGTCACCCTGACATTCAAAAGGTCGGACGGATTGGAGAATTTTTTAATGGAAGGAAGGACAGACGGACGGACAGACAGAAGGAAGGACGGACACGCAGGCACCAGGAAGCCGACTGTATACTTAACCACCACAAGCACTAGCTAACCTTGGCCCACCGCCTGCACTCCGGATATAATCATCTCCTATGTTCCCTCACTATCACAATATCCGGACTCCAGACACCGCTGCCTGTCGGAATTTTCGCTATAAAACATTGACCCCAAGAGCGCTGGCAGGTCTACCCGTTTAATTGAACATTTCTCGTGTTTTAAGATTTTTGGATAATATTGTTTTATCCTGACTAATATAATCGTGGTTTGGTTTTGTGTTTATAATAGACAAGAAGGGAAAGTTATTTACTTCCGACGCCTACGTGAGGACAGGTGCCAGTTTGTCTTTATTCAAGGACTGTTAATCTGTACAAATCATTATGTTAATTTTGTCTCCTAACTGGTGCCGAGATAATGTGTCTAATTAGGTTAGGTTAGGTAGGATTTGGGTTAGCTTAGGTTAGGTCGAGTTGGGTTACGTTAGTTAGTTTAGGTTTGGTTGGGTTAGGTTAGGTTAACAGCTGTACGGTATGAACAAGGTGGCGAAGCTAACCTGGAGTGGACGAGCAGATAAAGTACTTGTGTTATCTGTCCTCAGGTCAAGTTAACAGGTGATAATTAAACACGTGATCTCCTCAGTCTTATGCACGGGTGACTCAACCAACACCTGTACAGTACTACCAAGTAATTAATTTCACCTATAATAATAGGAGCTCCGCCAACTGTTTAAGGTGTGGAGTGATCGTCTCTCGGATGAGAGGGTCGAGGTGTAAATTTTCTTTCAGATTTTCCTTTAACTTTTCCGTTACCCGCCAACTTTTCGCTCACTGTCGTCCATGTGGGTAACATGGCCAGTTCAACGTAATTGTTTATGGATAATGTCTGTCACGATGCTCCTACAGTTTGGTATCAGCGAGATTACTGGCATTTGTCGTTTTGTCTTCTCGGCGGGTTCGGGGTAAGGGATGTAAAATACGTTGGTGAAACTTTGAAAGTTCTCTATGCCTTGGGGCTGTCTCCCGTAGGTGACCAGTCTTGGTGGCATACAGCAGAGCGGGGGCAGGGAGGACCATTGCTCGATATACACACAACTTGCTAGATAATTTCAGCTGAAGACACGGGTACACACTGGACACTCATCACAAACACGCACTGTACACTCATCTCACGCATACACAATCTCTCTCCCCCTAACCTAACCTCGTCCATAATCATAATCAACTTGTGGTTACATTATTAGTCACAGCTGGACACGTGAGACCGCGTCCTGTGTTACTTCATGACATGTTGTGTCGAGTGAGTCAGTCAGTTCACATAGCAACACACTAACTACAGTACATCCGACACCACCGCATCCTCTCTTACGTCCAAACACACACACCAGTCACTCATATACTGAAGATTAGGCACACGAGCTTATTTCACTTTATATTACGCACCCCAGCTTATCCCCCCCCCCATCCTCCCCACCACTGATCGGCTTGTTCGCCGCTTGGGCGATCGGTCACGTCTCTGTCACGCGCTGCTGCCAAGTACTGGGCATGCACCAGCTCACACTCGGTGCCGTCACAACACTTCCTGGTACTGTTCACCTTAAGATTGGTCACCTCTGCTGGTTCCTTGGGTCACAGTGTCAGGAAAAGCGCCTCAGGATGCACCCTTATGTGTACCTCGCAAAGTAATGAATAAACACAAAACCATAACACCTGTAGGACGCCAAGATACTGACAGCAGCTTCTTATCTTCTTGAGAAATAGACATCTGTTTTGGTGGCTACGGGATCTCCTAAATATTAGGCACCCCAGTTTATTTCACCAGATTAATAAGCACACTAAACGCTACCTGGGGTAGAGTAGGCTAGGTTAGTGTTAGGGTGTTTAATCATCAGTTGAAATAAGCAGGGATTCCTAATCTTAATGAGATCCTGTATACGTTGTATTTACACTATATCGTTATCTATATATCCTTCAGATTTAGGCATTCTACAACACAATGCTCAGTGTTGGCAAAATGACCATACTTGTTATCACGTAGCCTGGTCAATGTTGATGTTTCCTTACAGGCCGCAGCCAATGTACAAAATAAACCACCTTATCACGCACACTGGATTGGCTTCATTATCTAAGGTCTTTATGTGCGTAATTAGTTGAAGAATTACACTCGCCCATCAATAATTGAACATTATGAGATACAATCCTCCATTTAGGTCTGGCTGATGCGTGCTGAATTTGTTTTCAAGTTACGGTGCACTCAGTATAGCTACGGTAAGGCAGCCTCACGGTTGGTAACACTGACAGTTATATACAGTATATATTTCTGGCAACAGCTGTCCTTATTGTGCAAGTGTGTTCTCACTCGTAAAATGGCCTCCAAGGAATCTGGGCTAAACTTGTTTCTTGCCTTGGACTTCACATTCGTTACATACGAAAACACTAATTCAATAAATGCGGTACTCAAAGGAATACAATAAGAGTTCAGAGCAATGGTGGCTAGCTCTTCGTAATACTTTTCCGCAGCTGCATTTTCGTAACTGAAAACCGCTGTTCAGAACTGAACAGGATCTGGGATTACTGAGTTAGGAGACTCCTCTTTCCAATTAGTTTTCATACAGGTACGTTCATACTGGTCTGCGACTGTATTCACATCCAAATGTTCTTTAGCCAACTGTCCAAGGGGCAGAGCACCGAACCGTGACTTAACTTGGCCGAGACAAATTTTAGGATCCAAATATTTTATGTATTCCATTTTCATTGTTGTATTGTCTATTCGTTTATCTAACTCGTCTTACTGTCTGCAGTACGAAGTCGTGGCAGCGTTGCTGAATCATTTGCTTGTAGTCATTGCTTATTTTGCTCAATCTTAAGTCATATTCAAATTTATCTCCAAGCTTACCATCGCTCAGTGACCAAGGGAATTTTATCTGATGAATTTTTTGTAGAGTTTTTGAAGCAGAAAGTTCCTAAATTCCTTAATATCTCGAAATAACTTGCTGGGATCAGTATTTGATGCTTCGAATGCGGCATTTAGGGATTCAAAATTCTAGGCTATTGGGCAAACAAAAGTAAGATAAAGCTTGTTAACTTCATCAAGGAGCATATCTCTCAGGATGCGTGCATTGTAGTTCTTATCAACAATTGAGCAGAAATATGCCTTCAGTTCTTCCCACTGATTTAAAATTATGTAAATGCATTTTCCTATAACGAGCCAGCAAGTGACACCGGCGGTAAAAATTTATCATAGTGTTCATTACCATTGTTCATTGTAGCATATATTTGTTTGTAGTCATCTCTACGTAATGAACATACATTAAACCAATGAGGAATTTCAGAAATTAGGTAGACTAAGTTAGAAGGCAGAGTCTTGAATGATTTTTCACAACACGGGAGGAAAGGGAAGAGGCTGGGGAGTCAGTCGGTACTGGCAAAACTGACCCATATGTCGCGTGTACTGAACGGCGCTCATCTTTTGGAGAAAGGAGAGGGTGCATGAACGTGTGTGCTGGACGTGTGGATTCAGTACAGGTCGTCACAAACAGGCGTTACAAAAATGATACGGACAACAGGATGTTACTTGGTAAAGTATTATGCTTTATGTTGCATTAAGCTTTATAAGTAGAAGGAAGCTAAAAACGGGCAGAAAAGGTTACTTTTCACTGTCCTTTTTAATTACAAAAATATAGGACAAACAGGTCTCAAAAAGGACGGATTGTCCTTTAAAGGACAGACCTGGCAAGCCTGCCCTTGAGGTACTGTACGTACAAGTGTATACCAACAGGATGACCAGACCAATATTGTATTATTTTAAATCAAAATGTACATCAATGTTAAACCCTATTCTCATTAAAAAACTCTGAATATATATATATATATATATATATATATATATATATATATATATATATATATATATATATATATATATATATATATATATGCAAGTAAATCACTGTAGGTGCGCGAGATCTAGGTATATGCTGATATATATGTGTGCGTAGTTTAGTACAATAAAAGTTCTTAAAACAATGCATCACGTAGTCAGTTTTCTACCAAATGTTCGTGCGTGTTTACAATCAGGTGCGCTCACCACCAGTCACCTCGTCTACGGGGCTCTCACTCTGTTTTGGTACTGATGTCACGAGTTAGCTTCAACCAATCGACATACATTTTACAAAACACTCCAGGTCTAACCAATCAGCACCCCTCTCTTTTACCACGTGAGCGCCTTTAAATCTTACAGTGACCAATCAGAGAAAGGGGTGTGGCCAAACGGTTCTTTTAAAGGCAGCCACGCGTCCCTACTGCGCATTTACGTCTTACCTAAGTCCCATCTAGCACTTGTACACACCGGGAAACCTCTGCGTAGAACGCATATTTTGCATTATGTCTGACGCATACTTCGATGAGTACGACCACTATAACTTCGATGACAAGTTGGTACACTCAAGAGGCAGTGGAAAGAACCGCTCTAAGCAGGAGGCTGAACAGAATAAACACCACAATGACACCGACGGTCACACCCGTAAGATCGTCAATAACATGAAAAACAACGAAGCCAATAACAGAACGGCTCAAGCTACTAACATCAAGCATTAGGATATTTTTCATTGTGTGGTAAGTATATGTTCGTGGCTTTACCTTTAACAGTGCAGAAAGTTCAGGGTATAATTCATGTCGAGGCAAATGTTCCTATATACTGTACTGTACAGTACTTTATAATTTCATATATCGGGATGCAATAATATCTCCTTTAAGCGAGATACATTAAGATAGGTTCACTGTAGTATATGTTGAGTACCGATGATTGGTGAATATTCCAACAACTTCCTTTATGATCAAGTATTAAAACAAATTTGAGCAGACGTTGAATATGTCTGTTGGAGAATTTGAAGATACGTGAACTTTACCCCAATTCAGTATTCGATATAAACGTGGTAAATTACGCAATTGTGCTGTCTTTATTTTGGAAAACGGTGTTTACTATACAAAAATTGGGACGAGCAATATTAGGGCTTGTATCGGTATATACCAGTACTGTATATTTGTAACCACGATTATTATACAACGTGTAAAATATGAAGGTCCCACCAACTAAAATGACTAGTTCACTGCTTCATTTTAAATATTTACACTCATCTGATAAGCTGTATTTTTGTGGTATAATATATTCGTATATCTTAAAGGCATCCTTAGACACTTTACTTGTGTGGAAGTTGAATTAAAGGAAGAAAAGGATGCCTTATATTTAAAATATTGACGATAAGTTGCCATATAAAAAGTTCCTTCAAGTGCGCAGTATCAGCTCCTGGCCTAAACGCAGTTGTCAGTTTTGTTGTTCTACTTATTATTTCTACCGCAAAGGGATTAGGTAATCCGTGAGCCTAATGTGTCATTTGTGTATCCTAAGTTGTCTTGTAACGGTGTTGAAGTAATTCACGTAACATTAATGTTCTTTGTACATTATCTGTATATTACCGTTTGGCAACTATTAAGGGTTAGTAAAGGTGGATGGACCATATAAAGAACGTTATTTGTTTGGTTTCAGTATTCTTATTTAAAGTAAAATGTTTGATATTTTGCTCCAACTGCGATAAGATTTCAAAGTCTTGTAGCATCAGTAATGTTAAAAGATAATGTACGAATATACTCGTTATAATCATTGTGTCAAGACGCAGGTGCGTCCATGAAGGTGATGGTTGTTATAACGAGGTTGGGAGGGCCGAGAGAGGAGGTAGCATCAGCTGTTGGTTGCCATGCAGCCAGGCCACCATGGCGCGCCTTCGTGGACCGAGTCCTTTGTTTACATTTTTTTTATTAATTTTTTTAAACTTTTCTATTAAGAAAATAGAAAATCGATAAATTGCGAACTAACATTTATGTACAAACAATCTAGATATGGAAAGGCAGGTTTTTGCATATGCTTAGGTAAAAAACAAAAACTAATAGTTACGCTATCAATTGCAAAAAAAAAAACTCGGTGTGTGGAACTCCTGAGACTGTACCTTCAGTAGCTAACTGTTCTCTAAATTTTCGTATTCAGGAAGACAATTCTTATTAAATCTTGAATCTGAGCCCACACACTAATAGTTTACATTGCAGAATTTTGAATTTGTTGTTTCCAAATTAATTTAGTCTACTATTTGCAGATTGTTGACGCCGAACCAAAGCTTAAAGTTACTGATAACGGATTTGGAACGCCTTTAGGATGTATGGGCCACCACTACGCCGAGGAAGACTTAAAGCACACGAAGACTTGAGTTTACACTATTAATTATCTCGACTCTAAAATAAATATGCATTTTTGGTCCTCGTCATCAAGGTAGTGTGGTCAGCAGCTTGGGTAGGGCCGGCAGTATTCCCCTAGTCTTTGAGCGGCACCCTAACACCGCTCATCCCGCCCAACTGTCAGAATAGTGCTAGATGACTGTCCAGATGACTGTCCGGACAAATGTGAGGTGTTACCCAGTGTGATCGTCACTACCAAACATCACAGGTTTTTCCAGGCTCCGGTTTCTTCCTGTACGAACACTGGATAGACAAACTGCCCGAACGGCTTGTAAACAATGAAATTATTCTTGTAGTGTTACAATGTTCATTTTACATTCCTGCAGTCTTCCTTCTATTTTACGGAGGTACAGTATTTAAAAGCACTCTGCATTAGCAATCCTGTTTATTTATAAACCTCTGAATATCGGGACCACAGTCTGATTAATCACTGTTGAGTGGTCAATAATTACGGGGAACACATTCTGCTCAGGGTTGCAAATTTAAAAATAACCACATTGACGCTGAGCCCAGACACACGTGAGGAGAAAAAGTGCGCTGCCTGCGGCGGCCCACACTCCACTACCGACCGGACTGGACCTGCCCCAACTGGAAGGAGGCATGCAAGGTAGCCAAAGTTCGCCAAAACAAGAAACTTGGCTACAAGGAGGCCGTCCTTGTAGTTCGCACTAAAGTTAAGAAAAAAGAAACAAAAACACAAGAGAAGAAAAATCACAAGTTACCAAGAGACAAGAATACCAGGAGACTCCAGGTCAGAACACCTCATCAGGATCACCTCCTCCGACTTCCTCAACATTTACGAGCAACCAGGGCACGAAGAACAGGACCTAGACACTAGCGAATGGACGGTCCAAGAGAGCAAAGAGAGGAGGAAAATAAGATGAACTTCAATCTAACAAGACCAGGCTATTTCCATCGAACAACCCGTATATAAAAAAAGCAAACACCACACCCAATCAAGCCGACCAAGGAGAGAAACCATTGCCCAACCCAACACTCACCTGACGTATGGTCCTGCCCCCACGTCCAGGCTGGGTGCTGCTACCCCCTCAAACCTACAACCCCACACCAAGCAAGCTGTGTTGAGCCACGCCATCTGTCCTCTCCACTAAAATTCCCTTCCATCCTCTCTCTTTGAAGCCTTTATTCATTCAGGGTGTCAACTAAAACAGTACAGGAGGAAACCCGAGCCGGGGAAAGTAGTACTAACACTGGATAGTCCAACAGCCCAAACGGCTAATAAGCAAAACAACTATTCTTTTAGTTTTGCAATGTTCATTTTACATTGCGTAAATTCGTGTAGTCCTGCAGGTCTTCCTTCTACTTTACGAAGGTACAATATTCAAAAGCACTGCATTGTTAATTTTTTTGTAAACCTTTTAAACCTCTGAGTATCGGGACCAGTCTGGTTATTCACTGTGGAGTTGCCAGTTAGTTTTACCGAGGAGCACCCAAAGCAAGCTTTTGCTCTTTTTATTTTAGGTTGTGCCCGTTGTGATAATAAAAATAATGATTTTGTATATGTTACTTTTATTGACATCACTTCTGGAGGACTGATGGATAATTTATATACAGGATATAACATTGGGCGATGAAGAACAGACCGAACGGTAAGTAAAGTAGAATTATATGAAAATAAAGACCCTTGTTAATGGCTCGCATGAAGACTAAGTTTATTTAATGGCTCGCATGAACACAGCAAACAGTTTTTCATCAAAATTTAAAGCACACTAACCTAATGTTAATAAATGCGTGGCCTACACCTCATCACAAGACGATAAATCTACAAAACGAAGCAACCCGCTAGTTCCATAAATAACGGTTTACACATTATCTGGTCTACTGTAGATGCAGACAGTACTACCACCAGAAGTTGGGTTGGTTAAGCCAAGTTCTATACATCGTCTTAATGTTTTTATTATCATCCAAAGGACATATGGAAAAATTTAACGAAATCGAACTTCTGGTGGTAATGCTGTTCAGACTACCGATGTCACTAACGCCCGGCCGCCTGCACTACGGTGTCTAGTGAGGAGAGTTGATGCGATAAATATTTAAATGATCCTACATATTTAGTCATGACCAAGCATATTTTAAGATCTAAAATTTTTTACCATAAATTATTCTACCCAAGGTTAGATTTTATTAGTATACTGGTTAGATTATAATATGTACTTACCTATATCTTCTACACGTATTTCATAACGTTTTCTACCAAACCTCTAATGGAGACAGGGCATGACTGGATTGTGAAGTTTAAAATAAACAACTGATCCAGATATTATAACACCTGATCAACTGTTATGTTAATTTCGTAGATCTCCCGTCACGGGCCACTTACCAGGATCAATATCACTGCACTCTTTCCATGGGCGTCACACAACCACTTTTTGTTCCCAACTTTCCGAGGGGTTGCCATTATTTGTTAAGCACGTCCTGTCACACACCTCAAGAACTTTGGCGCCAACTAGACCCAAGGCGGCAGGCACTCGTAATGCAAGAAATCATGTTAGATGTACAGCATAAGGAATATCAATAAAAATGTGTACACTTCAGATATTTATCAAATAGGATTTAGTAATTTTACAATTAAATGTAACCATTATATCTGGCTCAATATTTTATTTTGTGACTCCTCCTCGATTATGGATCTTAGCTTGACTACGATAAATGGCGGAATCATTCGAGAGGAAATGACTAGTTTCGCTTGAGTGAATGACAACTTTTTTTTAACTGGGATTAGCCCACCCGGGCACAGGTCACTGACCCACATCGGGGCCTGGGGGACTAAAATGAGATAATAATAATTTCATAATAATAAATAAATAGTAAAGTAGTATTAATAATGATAATACATACAAAAATGAAAAAAAAGAGATCTAAAGTGAAACAATATGTATGTTGTGTTGTTAAAGTATGAAACAATTGAGACAAGTCAGATCAGCAGCCTGGGACTTAGTCACAATTTTCGTGGTGCCATATGGCAGCAGGTCTACCATTAAACAACACATTATGCTTCCAATATCTTACCAGGTGGTAATACCTCCGTTTGGTAGCTGCCTACTACAACTTGTGGAAAAAAAAACGACAAAAATAGGAGTTTACGTAGGAAGTGCTTGTGACGCCTACACCTTTACCATACAATAAAATTACCTAATCACATAGTAAAGGATTTTGTTATTATTAGCGATATCTTGCATCTCATAACAATTTTGGTAAATTATTGGCACCTCTGCCTGAAGACTTTCTTGTGATTGCCTAATACTTAAATAATTCAATACTGTATAATCAATAAGCCTACTGAGTAAATGATATGAGTGAATATCAAATGCTATCTTTGTGATGTTTGGCAGTACTGTAGTCTTCGGTGGTGTTGATTGTATAATCCTGCTAAATTCTATAATAGTTCAGTGATGAGTTTTGTTAGTTCGCCAATGGTGCTGGGGGCGAGATTATTATTTTTTTCATGTTTTAATACGGGGAATAGCCCACATGGGCACAGGTCATCGGACCCACAACGCGGCCCGGGGAGGAGATAAGAGTAAAAAGAAATTAAAAATAGAAGATAAAAAAATATTCTACACCACAAAGATGCTGGAAAACCATTTTGTTTCATGCGACAGATTGTAAGAGTATGGAAACACAGAAGGCAGAGCATTCCACAGTTTGGCTGTGTGAAGAAAGGACCTTCTATAACGGGTTATTCTAGTGTGACTGACATCCACAGAGAAACGGTGAACACAGTGGGCAAGACGTGTGTTAAGAGCCCACGGCCTTGCCGTCGGTACAAAGGATGCCAAATCCACAGAACTTTGCCCGTTAAAATACAGTACCTGTGACCGGGGGTTGTGTGTGTGTGAAGCAACTTTGCAGCTTGCTTGCCTTTTCCTAAATTCTGATAAACTACTCCCTTTCTAACAGGACAGAGGGATAATTAATTAGTTAGTTGTACTTGTTAGTTTCTATTTGACAATAAAAATTTGGTAACAATCCTCCACTCGTTAATCTTGGCTTTACCCTTAACACAGGAATATGTATTAAGTAAACTCCAGTAAATTAAATCACATGTTATTGAAAATGCAATACACATATTAACAATTTTTACATAAACACTGACAAATTCAGCTGACGCACTATGAATACAGTAACATCATACAGTACTGTATCTCTTGGAACACCACACAAACTCAAGGGTGGGAGAATTCAAAAAGGTATATTGTTGCCAGTAGTAGTAGTAAATAAAATATAAAGACAACACAATCACATGTTTATTTGCTAAAGTTTATAACCGGGAAATACCATTGTAAATCAGATGTACTGTGCTTTATCACCAAACAAACCCACACAATTCACATAAAACAAAATTTAACTGATTTCTCTGAACTTTTAAACATGGTAAACAAGATTTACTGTAGTGCTGAAAATCAAGTGTAACAGATACCTCTCGTGGTGATTCCCGTATGAACTGTACATTCAACCTTCACCATACCATAATTCAAACATGTTAATTGTTAGTATAATTAGTACTGTTACAACAAATTATATACCTTCGAGATATCATGACTAGTGTGTGAATTACAGTATACAAAAGCCAATAATACCATAGAAAACTTAACCTTACCACTCCCCATTTCATCAGCTTAGTTGGTGGGACATTTCACTCCCGTACAGTAGGTAATGATCTGAAGAAAATGGTTACAGATATTTGCATCTATCATAACTAACACACAGTATACCATAGGGGTATACAATATTGCTTATGCCAGGGTTTTTGTGTGTGTACTGTACCTACTTTAGGATTCACAATAAGACATTTACACAATGATGTCCAATGTGTATAATATCTTGGTTCATGAAGCACCCTGGTAATGGGATTCACAGTACGAAGCATGATAGTTGTTTTATCATGATTTTGTGACACTAATTCACAGGCATATCACATGATCGTTTTATCATGATTTGGCATAACTATGACAATTTTATCCTGGAATATTTCCACCATAAATAACTAAAAAACATAACAAGTAATTATGATGGTGTAAAGCACAACACCATAAAATAAATTAACTTTGAACAATTTAACAATGAATACTGCACAGTAAAGAGAAAATTATTATTATATTAACTCACACCAGAAATAGACTGAGCTATGCTTTTATGTATATTTTATCAGTTTCACTATGATCTTCATTCCTTGATACTGTATTGGTTGGAGCACATAATACAGTTTCCTTATTTAGGTCACTACACAAGTCTTTTGTCACTTAATCTTAAAGCTGTACATGTATGTTGTTCCTAATAACTCTGACAACTTAGTTCTTAAGTTACAACACTTGACCTAAGCATGGTAAAAAGATCACAGTCAATCATTCCTGACAATTTAACTACCTACTTCTGTACACGTAAAGTACATTGCACTGGTGCCCAAGGTAATTACTTTATCCTGGCTGCCACTGATCAGCCTCTTTTATGGTGGATGTGGCATCATATAGTCTGTTTCAGCTAACATGGCAGTGACTGATTCTCTGTACACTACATGTGAATGAGTTTGATCATAAATCACACCTTCCAGAGATTGGGGAATTTTACTGGTATTCTTTTCATCTTGTACAAACTCTAGTTACCAACTGATGCAATACAAACCAATATTTTACAGTTTTGCTAAATTTTATTATTCATCATATTGTTTCTAAGATGTGAAAATAAATTGTGTTTATGGTTCCCTAAGATGCCTACACATATAAAGTACAGAACAGTAAAGGTCAGTGTTATAATTAATACACCGAAGCTTCATAATTTCACTTGGTAGAAGAAAAATTATAACCTTTCTACATCTTGTATCATTCTACCTCCGTCACATTCTACACATCTTTTATCATTCTACCTCCCTGTCACATTCTACACATCTTTTATCATTCTACCTCCCTGTCACATTCTACACATCTTTTATCATTCTACCTCCCTGTCACATTCTACACATCTTGTATCATTCTACCTCCCTGTCACATTCTACACATCTTGTATCATTCTACCTTCTCTATTTTCTGTGGCCCTAAACCTTCCCACAGGACTATGAGACAAGTCAACACAACAGATTGATGGAGTCAAGACAACACTACACAAGATTAATACTGAAACATATAAAAATATCTTGCAGCACATAGCCAAGTTTATCACCCAGAAGTCACATATCCTAGCCAGTTATGATAGCATATTCCAGTTACATTTCCTAGTACATTCTAGACACATTTACCATAACCAGTATATAGTACAGTATTCCAATGCATTAAAGGTCAACAATTCAGTATTTCTTAACCCTAATTGATCTAGTCTTATAATTATTCCTTCACAAAATTTTTACTATGTGAGTATTACGTCAGTATATTCTAGGTGTTTATCCCAGAATATCCTATTAAACTTTTAATATTCCTTAAAACTATTGGACGACTATTGGACGACCGAGTATCTTTTTCATATACTGTATGTATGTTGTGTTGCGTCATTGTACCCTATCCTACCA